GCTTTTTTTGACTAATAATATTTAATACTAGTTTTATTAAAATGCTTTAAATAGAGGCTGTTTAATCTCAAATGTACTCCTAAATAAGTCAACATCCATTTAACCCCGTCTGCCCAAAAGGCTTATCATATCCGCAACTTAATTGCCAATTCTTAATTAGTGGCCTTTAAGCTGTGGCGTTGCATAATCTGCAGAATGCAATTGCAACTGCAACTAAGTGCAAGGCAACAAGCGGAAAATTGAACCTTGGCGAAGACAGAGTAAATCCGCAGAAGAATTAAATAAAAGTGCGGCAATTAAACGCAACCCGGCCTGGCGTTAATCGCGACTCTGAATGTGAGAGATGCCAGGTGAGAAACGGCACACGCATCTCCCCGGAGAATCGAGACAGAGACACAGGCAGAGATGGAAAAAGACTCTGGGACTGTGACACTTGGAGCCGCACTCTCAGATACTTGGCACTAACTTGGAGATACTTGGACTGGCCGGCAGCGAATGGCGGAAGATGAGGCGATTAGGCCCGAGGCTGAGGCTGAGGCCCAGGACGACAACGAGTCAGGGGCGAGGGAAAATTAAAGAGGAAAACTAGAAATAAAGAAAGAAAGTTTAGCTTTAGTGTGACCCGGCTACTGAGCCCCTGAAAAATGCACGCAGCTGAAGTGCAGAGAGATTTGTGGGGAGAATGTGGCAATGCAAAGTAAGAGCCATAACTGAATGCAAAAATCAGGCAAATGGTAATAAAAATTAAAAATGCCGAGAGTGGAAAGCCGTTGAGCATTTGTGAGTGTGTGTAACTAACGGATAAGCCCCGGAAAATTGACGCTGACAAGGCTTGCCTCCACTTGGCTCGGCCAACGTTGCGTATGCTTAATCTGCCTATTTACATCGTGCCCCTCTTACTTTTTTTTTACGTCTTTTGCTGTATTTTTGGGTATTTGGCATCCCGTGTGCGTGCAACCGTTGCCATGCTGTGACTATCATTAATTTTTCATATTCATAATCATCATCTAGTCAGCGCTGTGCTGAGTTTTCCTCATATATTGTTTTTTTTTTCGGTGTCAAAATGTTGTTTCTTCTTTCACATTTTTCACGCGATTTATGCACATTCTGGCATGGTCTGTTCCCCTCACTCACCACTTGCAACCCATTTAATTTCCATCTTCTGGACACACATTGGATGCCTGCCTGCTGCCCCTTGTTATCTTCGGTTGAATGTTTTACATGCAACATATTCACCAAAATGGGAAGCCAGCAAATTTCGAAAGGCTAGAGCTCCTTTTTCGGCCGGGTGTTGATATTTTGATGAATGTTCTTCGAAAGCCATGTTTTGCGATTAACCAGCGGGAAGATGAGCTAGCCATTAAAGCACGGATCGATCTTCAAAGTTGAAGACTTTTCTTTCAAAAATATGAAATTCTTAACTCAAAGATTCCATTTGACATTCGTCACCTGTCAGGCCTCGCCTGGACTTTAATTTTCGCATTAATTCAAGCATAAAACAATGCCCTGCCCCTTTCCGTGTGCTGGGCAAACATTTAGCGAACTGAAACTGAGAAAAATCTCCCATGTGCCAATTTCCACTGTACGTTTAGCGGCAGCTGGCACTTAGCATTTTTACACGTGTAAACGGAACGGCGGGATGTGCTAAAAGTGCGGCAATAAAATCGCAGCTCAACAAAAAAAAAGTGGGGGAATGGAGGTGGTGTCGTTGAGTCGAACAAAATCGTTAAATTAGTAGAAAATAGTGTGAAAAACGACACACACACACACCCGGCGAGTGTGTGGGGTGTTGGACAAAAAACAAAAAAACAAAAAATAAACTAAAATGGCAATGGGATGGATTTTGGACGGCTGAATGCTTGAACGCTTGTACTACACAACCGAAGACAGTTTAATTACGGCGTGAAGTTGCGCGACTCCAAGTCCAAGTCCGTTGTTTAGGCCGTTCTGACTCCCCTCCCCCCACCTTCCCGCAAAGCAAACCCCTCCCTGTTGGCCAAGTAACTGCAAGATGGGATTTTAATGCAAGCGTGAATCATAAAACGCTCAGTTGATGTGTTGGTGTCACTTCGGTTACTACCTTCCTTCCTTCGGCACTGGGGCGAGTCTTCAAAGCTCCGAGTGGGTGCCCATCTAATAATCCATTGCGAATCTCGACCAAGATAATTGTCGCTTTTTGTCTTTGCCAAAGCAGGTCAGAGGTCAAGTGTTTGAGCAAATGTTTGCTGCAAAGTCTGAAATGGGCTTGCTGAATGGTTAGGTCATCCAGGTTGAACTCTATTTCAATTTTCATTTTAGTGTTGGCTTTCAAAAAGGGCAGGGTAAATCCCATTATTGCAAATCACTTTTCCATAAATAGCCTTAAGTATTATTTGATTAATTAAAGCCTTACAACGATCGAAAAAAAGAGAAATCGAGGAATCCTGATTTCCAGATTGACATGCCATTAATCCAGCCAATGACTAATTAGTTTGAGTTACGATCTGAGCAACATTTTATGACCCCTAAGCGATCGACTGGGAGACTCCTTGTGAACCCGAACAGGACCTCATGCCGTTTACATAACCATTAAGCCCGGTTGGACTGGCCAAATGATCGACTGACTGCTCGGCTGGTGAATTAATTGCAGACGCAGGCAAAAAAGACCTGGCTCATTAGATAGACTCCCAGCGATAAGAAAAGCATCCGAGTTGATCGCTTTATTCAAGTTTGCTTGGCGCATGCCGATTGCATTTTATTTCTTTCAGTTTTTCCCTCTTTATATTTTTTTTTGTTTCCATCGATAAATCGGCAATTAACAAGCCCAAGTGGTGGTCCGGCCGAGAGCCGTTTAATAAAGTTAGCATTTGTATAATGTCTTGTCAAAAATTTATTGGCATTTTTGCCAATATTTTGTCGGTTCAATCTGGCAATCTTCGCGGTAAGGTCTGCCTCACCACAGACCCACTCTCCGCATTGATCTGTTCCGCGATAGCAATGGTGATTGCTATCTCTGGGATGCCGTATTCGAGGTATTCCTCGAATGAATGAATTGGATGGAGCCTGGCTTGCCGTAGTGCTTTGTTTTTTTCCTCTTTTTGGCAATTAAGCCACGACAAAGTGTTTGCCGATTTCTCAGACCTCTCACTGCCTATTTACCTATAATGCTCCGCAGTATTAGCTGTTATAGCTGCACAGTTTTCACCTTTTGTCTCATTCCGAATTGATTAAATTATGCAAATGCTTGCGGTACACTCTAAAAAAATATACAAAAAAAATAATGCAACTGTGACAAAAGGCGTTGCCAAGCACGCTTGCTAGCCAACATTTCCCTGTGGTTCCCACACCCCCAACAAAAATAAGAGCCAAAACCAAACCAAACCTCAAAAATGAATTTCAGTTTCCTAATTTCCATCAAACGGCGCTTTTTGTTATTCGCTCTGCCATGCCACAAAAAGATTCTCATGTTGTCTTTCGATGGTGATGTCGATGTGGATGTCGATGTCGTCTTTCGTCCTCGTCGGTCTCCTAGTCGTCGTCGTCATCGTTGCTGTCGGAGATTTGGATTTTTGTTGGCGGTGACGGTTTCGGTGTCGGTGGATTTTCAATTTCTAATGTAGTGCACGTTACGCCCTGAAGGGATTTTTATTTTATACATTTTTTTTCTTAACTTTACTTTACGGTTTTATTTATTTATGCTAGCGTTGCTTGGCTCCAAGGTACAGTGTGTTAGAAACTAATAATATTTTCTTGAATTTTTAGTACTAAAAATATATATATTATATTTAAGGAAGTACATTTAAGAATTAGAATATATTTTGGAATATATCTTTGTTATTTTATTGTATAAATTTTAGGCTACGTATGGACAATCTCCTAATTTGAAGTGTTTAGTGTAGTGTTTAGAACTTTTGATATATTTATATTCATATTTTCCCTTACTTAAAGTTAACTTTTAATAAAATAACCATTCAGATTTTATAAACTTTGTTATTATTGAATGTTTATATTAATATCCTCCAGTGTCATGGAAATCCAACATAAAGTTGTCCAAGGTATCCCCAAAAAAAAGACCACCATTTGATGACAAACTTGAAACGTGAAGCATGCCATGCAATATGCCATTTTTTACCTCTTCTTCTAGCCGTCTTTCTATTGTTGGCCAAGAAGTAATTTTTGTTGTCGTTTTCATGATTGCTTTGGTCTAGTTGTTGTTGCCGGGCTGGTACTAAGGCTGGCGCTGGAGTGCTGACTCTTTTGATGGCGACGGTGCACACTTTTAGTCATCGCCATGTCAGCGACGGCATCGAGAGTTCAGCCCGAATCCAAACAATCAAAATGATATGCAAATGTATGTAAGAGTACCGCTACGAAAAAGGCGTGGGTTAATTGTGACTTTATCATGCAGCAGCGCCAGCAAACGAATCCATGGTAAAAAATCTATGATAGAAAAAAAAAGAGTAAAACATCGCGAAACGAACAGTGGGGGAGGGACAAATCCATCCGCATCGCAATCGAAAGGAAAAAATCAAATTTATTACAAATTTAAGCATAGAGACCGCGAATCGAGCGAACGGCGATGCGGCGAGTTATGGATTTCGTCATAGTTCGAGTCTATCTCTTTCCGAGGCGAGACGTGAAAATTTGAAATAAACCTGTCAACAAACACCAACGCCAATAGTCGGGCGGATGGGATGCCTTTCCATGTGAACTACGAACCCGCCAGTTCGTACCGCCCCGTCGGTGGGTGGGCGGCGCCAAAACTAAGCCACCAAATCCACCAAAACCACCGAAATCCACCGAATCACATCAAACACATTAGCACGGGGGCAGCCGCAGAGTACTGGGGACGGAAACTGTCGTTCCCACAAAGGCAAACATTACAGTGCAATTCAGAGTTCCCATCTGAAAATGCCCTGCAGATGACCAACAACAGCGTGAAATATTTCACACAACCACTGAGAAAAATATCTACAATACATACAATAAATAAATTATTTTATTTTGATGCATATTGTGATCTAGACACACAACTCCTGCCTGTAAAGGAGTCTGAAGCCACGACCCACATACTCGGCATCGGTGCGAAAGGGCAGGATTATGGGTCCTGCGGCGGTGTCCCTCACGGTGGCGTGCATGGTGAAGTCGTCGGTCTCTCGTCCATCGTTGAACCGCTCCCCGCACAACGGCACCGAGTTGATGGCTATAAAGTCATCCGGACAGTTGAAGATGCCAGCTCCCGCCTGCCCATCGGAGATCAGATCGTTCTCGGCTGTCAAAGCATGAAAATCAGAAACATATAAGTTGGGAATTGGGTCAAAATTAGTTATAGAATTGGTTGTACCTTCATCTTTGTTAACAATCTGAAAATCCGGTTGGTCGCCACCTAATTGTTCGGTATTGTAGCTCACGCTGCAGACATTTTTCAAACGCGATAGGCAAATGGCGTAGTTTAGATTGTTCTTAAAATAAACAAGCCTCTTATGTAGATATTTCTTGGAAAAGGATTACTAAAAACTTACAAAATAAGTAGCTTCCCGATTGTCCACAATGGATCCATCTGTGTCGTAATTAAAGGACTTGACAATGCCCTCGGATTCGGTAAAATATTGCAAGCAGTTGTTGGGAGCCAGATTGTCTTCCAGCTGGGAGACTTTAATGTTAAATGAACGGCCACCCCCAGAGACCTTGACAAAAACCGAAAGATACACCTTACTCTCATTGGAATCCCCTACATGTATATAAACTGGAAAAATATAAAACTTTTAGTCAAATAGGAGGGCTTAATGCCATAAGTATAACTTACTATGTTGGCCTGTGTTGATTCCACATAGAACAGGTATTTGGAAGTTTGAATTATGACCCGACACAATAAATTGATCATCCATACAATCTCCATTGGTGGGTCGACTTAGCTGAAGTGAAAGTGTTATTAAAATAGTAAGATCAGATACTTTCTCACCTCAAACATTTGGAAATCCAGACGCAGTTGCTCCACTCCCTTTTTCACATTTATGATCAAGACGCATATCATCATTTCGCGAACCGCTTGCGGATAGTTGGGACTCTCGAAGTAAAGGATTTGTTGGCTGGTGACATCGCCGCAACCATTGACAACTGGAGGGAAACATTACTATTAATATTAAAGGAATAGATGGTAGGATTTCCAGAACTTTCACTCACACACACAGCAGACACCCACGCCCTCGGCACAGCTTTCGGTGGGGATCCCTCCGAGACTCTTGCACTCGAACTCATGATAGCAAACCCCCTCCATGCTACGAATGTCGCCCATGGAGACGCTGCACTTGGTGTTAGGAAACTTGATCACCTCGAACAGGCTGAGGAAGCCCTTTCCCTTGGATCGTGGCGCATTGGGTTTCTTCAAGATGAGGTTGGCCTCGATGGGCGATCCGAAAAGGAGGTTTTTCAGAGGTGGCCGATGAGGTCGCATCCCCGGAGTCTTGGTACTGGAGGGTGGTGTTGGCACGGAAGGTCTCATCGGGGGCCTGGAGCTTGGACTGGACATCATTCCAGGGGAGCTACTGGGCGTGGGCATCATCATCATCATGTCCGTGGCTGGCGGAGATGGAGGAGCCTCTGTGGGTGAGGATGTGGGTCTCATTGGAATAGTGGGCTCGGGTTCATCCGGATCCAGGGGTCCGGGCTCCGGTGCAGGGGTGGCAGGTGTGGGCATCGGCATAGGCGCCTCTGTCATCTCAGGGGGCATCTCTCCTCCACCTCCTCCTCCGTTCATCCCATCTTCCGCCTGTTGTTGCGCTACATTGTGAAGGTGGAATCCCGGCTGATAGCGCATCGTGTACTGGAATCCAACTCCGTCCGCTGACATGCCACCGGGACGCAAGGAATGCGACTGGCCACGCCTACTCCTCCGCAGATCGGCCATTGTCACAAAGTCGGAATCGGCCACTGCGACCACGCCCACATAATAAAGCGTTAAAACGAAAGCGCTTATCAACGCATCGCAACGCTGTGACAACATTATTAACGGAACTTCGCGCAGCAACTGTGGCAGATGTTGCAGTTGCCACAGCAATTTCTGCCAATGTTGCTGCTGTCCGCGTAGCATCTTTCTTTGGCTTTATTAGAGCATTAATTGTCGCCTTTCCAGCTTTTTCAACCTTCACTTTTGCAGCAACAATCAAACAACAAAGTCACGCTACTCTGATTGCACTTGTGATGTTGCTGCCGCTTGTGATTTTTCTGTTGCTGCTGCATGTTGCTGTGGGTAACAGGGTAAATGTTATGTTTGGTATTTCTGTAAGCTCTCAGGGAATTTGTGTTAATTTTAAATGAGAAATTAAAAGGCCTGAGTGCCGCAGAGCCATAAAAAGAGTATGGAAAACACTTGCAAAATGCACACTTCATCAGTAGCTGCAGCAGCAGCACCACCACCAGCAGCAGCAACTGTTGCAAGCCCATCAGTGTGATAGGCTTATGAAATCAGGTAAATGCTAACGAGAATATCGAATGGCCACAACAATCCATAAATTCATATCGTATATGCCTGGCCATCACTGAAAGCGGAATAAAACTTTCATAATTAATAATGCCTAACGACAGCAGTTGCAATCACCAATCGATTATGCAAATGCGGTCGATGATGTCGCAGTTGATGTGAAGATTTTCGCAGCAAACGCAAACACTTCAAATTGAAATCGTTTTAATTGCGAAATCGAAGAGCACTCGACGTGAGCTATGCAAATGTATCTCGAGACAGAAATCGAAAACATTTAGCAGTTTTTTAATGCACCAGCACCAGCGCCAGCATCTGCAGCATCGTCATCATCGCCATCAGCGGATCACGAGATGATCATGCATCATGCACAACAAGGTTAAAAATTGTTAATTGTCGTTGCAACGAACAGCCACAGCAATGGTTGCAATTGGTATTATTATACACCGACAACAACAGTCAGTAACTAGTAACTCTAGCAACTAGCAACTCCCAGCTGCTGTCGTTTGACGTTGGCGTTTGCAAAAAAATAGATAACCATAAATAATTGCGCACTTGACAAATAAAACCTCACAGTCTCTCCCATCCGACTGTCTGGCTGACTGCAGAATATGAAGAGCCAGTCGGAAAAAATAATTCGATGCAGATACATTTAGACGCGACAATGCGGGCGTTTAGTTTTAAAGATTATCATTATGAGTGGTTACTTTTAATGAGTGCCCGGGTAGGAGGATGTAGGGGGTTGGCTGTGGGGCGTATATGGAATTTCGTGATTGATGCTCAACGTATTCGAAATAAAATGGCAATTAATCACGATCGCGGTCAAAGCTTCCAAGTAGTTAGCATACGAGCATGAGTTAATGGATCACAGATGCTTACATAAATTTTAAATCATTAAAAATCCAAGTTTATACTTCCTTTTAATATGAAAATTAATATCAGTGATTAGGGATTTTTCACATAAACAGATACTTGCCACTTGATGGCAAGAAAAACAGAGGCTTCTTGGTATAGAACCACTTGCAGACTCCCTGAGCTTACTTTTTCTGTTTGCAGAGCACTCGAGCTTCTGCAGCATCTCCGAATCCATCTGAGACTCCGATTCACATGAGCCGGACAGCCAGACGGATCATCAAAGTCTGCCTCGCAGTCTGCCTCGTCTTCGGAAACCAAAAACCAAAACCAAATCGAAGAGAACCCAACCCAATCAAACCACACGTACAGACAATTCCCGTCCATTAATTGAATCAAATCGAACGTTACGCATGCGTCATGCCAAAATGACAAAGGGAGCCGCCACCGCCACCACCACCAGCACTGTTACCACCAAAACCACTATGAAAGCCACTGGAGGAGGCACACACATGCAGATGATGACGCCCCGCCTAGAAGACTCCTCTCCGGCTTGTGTACACAATATGGTTATAGCTATTACTTCATGTTATGTTATGTTATGTATTTGTACTTGGGCAAAGTGGAAATCGCAGCTGGAGCGAAAGAGGCTTCTGAAAAGGTGGGGGCCATGAGCGCGGTATGGGCCAGGTTAACAGAAGGTGGAGTGGTGAACAAATCAAACTGCCTGACCATCGCGACTAGTGGTTAAAGTCCACTTAATTGACGTTTAGTGGACACTCGAATGCAAATGCTACAAAGGCTAAGAAGTCTCCAAGAATCCACTGAAGAAAATGAAGATATCTAGAATTTAATAAATCCTATAGTATTAATATTATAATCCTGCCCTTCGAAATATTATTGTTTTCAGTGCAGCCCCTAAACCAGGGACTAGTGTCAGTCTAGTGGAAGCTGCGTGGATTCGACGGCCGCGATTCCCATCAGTGCTATAAGTAGTTTTCCTTTTTCTTCAACTCGAATGGAAGTCCGGGAATCCGGGAGTTTGGGACACTGACCACATTCTAATGATGACTTTGATAATGAGCATGTTGCCGGTTGCCATTCCTGCTCATGCCTCTTCTCTGAAGATCTCTGAAGATGCGACTGTTGCAACCAAATCGGCAGAAGCAGCTAAAGCTTGATGCTCTTCTGCTGTTGCTGTGGCTGTTGCAGAAGCACCAGCCAGACATCATTACAATATAATTGATGGGTTATAGCCGGCTAACGGTAAAACCAAAAATGTTTCCTTTTTTACTCATTCGAGTATTATTCCTTTTAGTTTTTTGGGAGGAGGCTTGGGAGGTTGGCAGCCAGTATTCGGTTTGGAAATTATCATTGTTCCCAAATGACAGCTGAGAAGTTGTGCGTATGGGCTTAAGTATGAATATGGAAAATGGTTATAGACCCGCCAAATCGGGTGGCTAATGTGAGCAGCTGACATAGAAAACTACTTAGGCTTTGGTGGTTAGAACTCAGAACGGGGCATGAGGGGAAAGATATAACAACCTCAAAAAGTAGGCTTACATCTTACAGAAAATTGACTACTAGTAAATTAAGTTCTTGAAAAATATTGCAACAATATCTTAGACAGGTCAATGGCCTACTAACTTTAAAACAAAAACCTCAAGAACCTCCTCCCATATACCAACTCAAGCAATACGACACTAATTTTGTTAAAAAATCTTCAAATCAAAGAAAAAACCTATTCATTTCAATGTCATTTAGTGTCGAACAAAAACAAAAAGGCCAAGAGCAACGAAAGTGTATGCCAGATACTGTATCTGTATCTGTATCATGGCCAATCTAAATCGAAACGTTCAAAACCAAAACACAAGAAATTGCAGAAAACATTTGTGGTTACTGAATTTTTTTTTTATGTATTGCCGATTTAAGTTTTTGCGGTCTTAGCCAAAATGCCGCCTTAACCGCAGCTGTGTCGGATACTTTTTTCCTTCCTTGACTTCAGATACGCTGCACGCACCACGATGGAGATGTGAATGAGGACCTGGATCGTCCAGGGGGAGTGGAAGGACAAGGAGGTTGCGGCAGGGCCAGTAAGGTAACTTATGACCATAAATGGTGCGCTAATTAAATGGTTTATTACCATAATACAAATGCATCAAGGTTTGGCAATGGAAGTACCTCTTTATCTCTTCAAGGGTGAATAACTTATAATATATTACAGATATACTTACATATCTTATAAGGTCTTAAAACTTTAAATGTTCAATAAAATGTGTCCTAAAACGTCATTGGTTTATAACTTGCAGTATATTATTAAATGGCGTATATTAAATTAATCCACTTAGCTAATTTTCCGCCATTTAATTTGATTGAAGAAAAAATTGGGGTACTATAAGCGTTCCTTGGCCATTACCGATATTTTGGGCTAATCTTCAACGGTCTTTTAGCCTTGGGTCGTTTGGTTATTTCGTTCAGACTGGAGTCTTTTTTTCGAAGCAGGGCATGCAAAATTAGGACCGAAAAAGGATGCCAGGCGGAAGCTTGGCTTGATTGTTACCGCTGCCTTTTCAGTTTCTTGGTTTTATTTTTTATACTTTTTGGTTGCAGCAACACTTGTTGGTCTGACCTGGACCTGAAGAAGGAGCTGAAGCCTTTGTTTTCTGGGGGTCTCCGGAGTGCGTTTATCTTGCGGTTCCACTCGGTGGCTGGACTCTTTTTTTCGGGGGTTCCACATAGCCACACACTCCATACTCCACGCCATTGATCACGATCCATAATGAGCGATAACTGCAGTTGGGCTTTTTTTCAATTTTAGTTTTTTTTTCGGCGGACTCTGCTTTTGTTTGGTCCTGAGATTGAGAGCGGTATTTTATTTTCGTTGCGGGCCTTTTTTCTACAATATGTTACGTATCTGGCGGATACATTAAGTATCCGCATATCGTACGATAGCATGTAGCGGCATTTTTTGTTTGTCTCCTGGAAAATTAAACTGTTAACTTGCCATGTTTAGCTGCCATTGTTTGGCCGCAACTGGCTGACATTGTTTCGGCCGCAGCGACGAAGGGGCAACATATGTTGGCCGGTCGGGGGATCGAGTATCTGTATCTGTATCGCTATCTAATCGCTTTCTAATGGCCTCCGCCAGCCACGGCGATCTATGTTAGCTGTCAGTCGAGCTTGTTTGCCAAATAGATTTTTTTCCAACTTAAACATATTAATAAATTAGAAAATGTTTTTTATCTCCTTTGGCTTCTGCTATTGTGGAATTTTCTTGGTTTTTTTTTGCTTCTGGCCTTTAAACTTTAATGCATGGCGAATTGCATGTCGATCGGTCGATTTGGCCAACCTTCAAAATTAAGTTGTCTTGGTTATTTATGTTTAATTACTGACTTCTGGCTTAGCTCTCTTCTGGCCAAGTCTACAGTTTTTCTGAGAGTACCCGTAATTAATTGCCGTCCCAGTGTGATGAACTTTAAGAGGACTTTGATAGCGAACGTTGTCTTTAACACCACGGATCGATTTGGACGAATTACCTCCGGACTGCAAAGATGGCTCAACTCTTCTGGCCGTAAATCAGTGTGGAGCTAGTGTGGTCGCAGATAATCGTGAGAAGCTCGTAAATCTATTGAAAACAAAAATTTTTTCCTCCTGGTACTCATGCATGACTAATATACTCATCTCCGACGGAATGGATTTCCCTCGAACTTCCTTCGCTGGCTGAGAAAATATTACACCCAATATGTTAGAGTCGTACATCAAGTATTTAGCAACTTTCTAACCATCTGCATAATAAATTGAATACATCAGAAACTATAAATAATTGCCAACAACTGCACGCGGGCCCAGTGTGGCTGGTCATGTTGCAAGTTCGCTGTTTGAAATGAAGAAATTTTGCCAGAATTTCGGGATTTGTGCGAGTGCGAGTGCGTGTATGTTGTGTCTTTGGCCCGAAGCCGAAGGCGAAGGCGAAGGCTAATGGCCCCCAAACGACCGCAACGACAGGCGTTTACAACTTGGCCGACTGTGTGCGACAAGTGCAGGTAAGTGGTGGCAAGAAAAGTGACACCCAGGTGGTCAGGAGATCTCCTTTTAAGAAATATTATTAGTAAAATTTATAAAATTTGTACAAAGTGGTAATAATAGTATAATTTTGGTTCTTAAGAACCTTATATCTTGGGGAATATAGCTTCCGATTGCAGTGCATCCAGGGAATCTACCAGACCGCATCAGTCAACTGCCTGTACTCCTTTTCGAGGCGCATCACAAGTGTGTGCCACAAGCCAGGAGATGACCGCGACCGCTGTACAGACAACAGCAACAGCAACAGCTACGGCAGCAATATCAAGGCAACAACAACAGAGTCAGCATCAGGGGCCAGGCAATCGGCCAAACTGTCAGACATGGTGCGTTGTGTGCCAAAAGAGCAACCACAATAACAACAAAAACAGCAACAGCAACAGGCACAGCCAAGAGACAGCCAAGAGACAACGGACAAGCAACAGGCGCAAGTCAAGTGAATGGCCAATGACCACCAAATTGGCAGTAAAGCATACAAAAATAACTTCAAATGGTCAAAAGGTTAACAAAATCAAGCGAAGAACAAGAGAAGACAGCGGCCAAAAGGATATATGGTGTGTATGGACGGAAGAGGCAGAGAGAAGGCTGAAGTCTGAAGGCTGAAGACTGAAGTCTGAATCGAGAAGCTGCAGCTGCATGCTCAACATGTTGCCAACATTCCGTCAGAGGCAGCGGCAGCAGCAACTGTTGCAGGCACACACTGGCTTGCAACAGCAACATAATCCCCCAGCCAGAGCTCAACGAAAAAATGATTAATGAGTTGCCTCATTACCTGGCGAAAATCAATGTCTTGCGAATATTCTACAGACCAAAGAACCCGAATCCGGAGCCAAAACCTGTCGTTGGCATGTTCCTGATTCGGAGTCGCGAGTGCTGTTGCCGTCGTTTGTTGTCGCATAATAAATCGATCATAATTTTCAGACCAGAATGGGACTCAAATATCGCATGTGTCGACGCTGATTCTGATCTGGGACCAGCGACAATCAGCTCCTGTCGCACACGACGACAGCAGCAACATCAGCAACACACACGACCAACATCTGACTGATCTCCCAGTCGATCTTGGCCGCACTTGGGCTTTGACTTTGCCCCTTTTTTGTACTTTTTTTTTTTTGTATGAGAGATCTTTTTTTTCGTTTTAATTGCAGTCGCGCGCCTGATCTGGAGACCCATCTGGCTGGCACGATACTGCTGACTGATTTTATTTATTAAACTGTTGACATTCTGCTTTTGCCGCCGCTGGCGCCTTTGATAGCCATCAGTCGATATCTGGCTATCGGCGAGGAGTGGCGCCTGCAACGGTTCCGATTTATTGCCACTTGCATTATTGATTAACTTCATGGCCATGTTGTGACTTATTGTGGCAAGAAGATTCTCCCGTTTAAGGACTTGTTTATGCTTCATGTACCATCCATCCAGAGCAATCGACTTCTACCTGGCCCGTCCAGGCGATAAAGTGAAAGTGTCAAGTCGTAAATGCAAACTATTTAATCAATGATTACACAACGATTACACAAACACTCGCTGGCGTGGATTATTATTATCATTACACAATATTATTTGTTTAAAGAAAAGAGCAATAAACCGATGCGATTGAACTCTTTATCGCTGCCTTATCTGCTCCGAGCTGTGGCAACTATGTAAATATTGTAAATCTATAAAACCGAACAGCAGGCGGACATCGCAGAAGTGCCAAATTGAACTTGAGAACCCGATGATGGAGTGAGGGGGAAATTCTACGATTTATGGCTGAGTGACTGGTTAAGGTTTACCTTTCCCACATGCAGCAGATATTTCCCGGTATCTATCATCACGTTTCCAGGTTTCCGGGGGGATAATAAACGCAGACCCAAAACCGAAATATTAAAGTCAACAGCACGAAATTGTTGTGGTTGGCGATGGTGTACCAAGAAAAAATAGGTAATTCTTTACGATCAATGGGTATGGATTTATTGGACTTATACATTTCAAATAGAAGGACAGAACTAAAATATAATTGTTTAACAAAGACATGCCTTACTAATAGTTTTTCAAAGTTTCCCAAAAAGGAGATACTATCAAGTCCCTATTTTGATGTTCCTGTTTTTTTGCGAGTGTTAAAATTTCTGTTGGTGTTGCAAGATGATGTTGCAGCAATACAAACAAGTTGAATGGCATTGCAAATGCGCAACAAGAAATGAGCAAATGGCAGCGGGGAAAGGAGGGTCTGTGCCACAAAGGAAAGGGCTGGACTGCCAACAGCAGTTTGATTGTTATTGCCAATGAATGAATGCACTTGCTCTGAGGATTTGTCTGGCAGACCGACTTATGAGTTTCCATCCAACTCCAGGTTCCAGCTCCAGCTCCAGCTCCTGCACCATCTCCAACTCCATCTCCGTTTGTATAGCCCCAAGGGCTGTGGCAACACATTTTGCGGTCTGCAGTTGCAGTTGCAGCTTCTGTTGCTGCCTCCGTTGCCATTGTGTCCGGGGAATGTTGCTGTTGTGGCTGCGTAAGCCTGCAGGGGGTGTTTATGTTTTTGCCGCTTGTTGTTTGCCGCTCTCTCTCCTCCTCTGTCTGTGTGTGTTGGCAATGAATTGGCTGCAAACAACATTTCCGTTTTGGCCATTATGTGGCGCCCACCCCACTTTCAGTTGGGCCGCAACTCCCCTTTGGCACTGACATTTTCACACTTTGCAGCGGTGTGGGCGAGCAGCTGCTGACTGGCAAAAGGATTGCCCTGGCATTATCCTTGTTCATTTCCCTTATGGTTTTATTGTTGATGATTTATTGATGTCTCCTCGTTGTCAGCCAGGGGGAGTTATGCCATCAACTTTTTTGGTGCAAGATTAATGGAGAGTAGAGGGTCTTTAAATTAAAATGTAAAGTATATTTTTCAAGAATGGAATAGAAACGAGTTACAAAGCCTTAAAAATTAATCAAAAGTAATATAACCAGCAATAAGCTTTAATTTTTCACATCGTTTACCCCTGATATTGATATGAAATTACATATTTCTTTTATGCGGAATTTCAACACCTTCCTCGAACAAAAGCCTCAAACAAAACCCTCGCATGCTGCAACTGGACCAGAAATTGTCCATTGTTTTGGGTGTCCTGGCAACCGGCAGACGGCACATAACTACATAAATTAACGGCCTTCGCCGGATGGTTGGATGGCTGGACGGCTGGAGCTACACCGTAGTGGGATGGCGCAGTGTCGACAGCAGGAATCGCCACCAGTTCTTCAATTGATTTTCGAAACGACTTTGTTGGTGGCCCCGACTCACAAACGGAGCTCCGTACCGTGGCAGTGCACCAGAAGCCGGACAACGGACACCGGCCGGCGGACAGCGGACAAGGGAAATCGATCGAACATTTGAAACAATGGGGCAGCAGCATAACAAGGGGTATTGCACATATTGAATGAATTGCTTCAAGCTTTTATATCAGTTTTCTTTTTCTGTATTTCAGGCTTCTGTTTGGCTTTGTCCTGGCCGGGGAAAGAGTTTGATTGTGGGGAGAAACGAGAGAAAATGAAATCAAAATCGTATCAATTGAAACCTGTTTCGATGTCGTTGTTAACACATGTTAACCGAACGATACCAAATTGCTGCAAAAAAAAGGCCAGAAAAAAAGTACAATAGCATACATTTTGTTTTCTTAAGTATTACAATAAAACCCGACAATAACGAATATATTATAATTAAAGTGTTACCTGACATATTTTTCTAACAAAGTTATCGTTTTCATACTTCAAACACCTCGTTCCTAGCAAGCCATGAATTTCCTTGCAATTTGCCTTGTGCACTTCGTTAACTAACAAGGCACTTTATATATTTCGTAAAATATATTTCTAAAATATACAATTTAAAATTTTCGTGGGCAAAGCAGGACACGATGTCCAATCTAGAGGATATACCACTAGAAGAGCCGCAGGCCCTACCAGCGGCCCCGTCCGAGACTTCCCAGCCCTCGAAGTCCAACTCCCTAAAGCGCTTCTTCAAGGTCAGCAAGAAGCCGCTCATGCGGGACCAGGCTGATGACGAAAGCGATGCCTCCGACGAGGACAACGCCAAGGAAGACAGCAAGCCGAAGACCTTGACTCGATTCTTTTCACGCAATAAGACAGCACAAAAAGGTAAGATCTCAGGCTATAATATTTTGACGGATAGAAGCATTACCATTTTCCTCCCAGATGTGGCCGAGCCATCAAACAGCATGGAAAACCCCATTACCCAGCGGGAGAAACCCATTCCGAATGTGAAGCCCACAATCAAGGCATCCATTTCCAGCTACTGGAAGCTACTGTTCCATCGCCAGAAAAATCGCCAAGACGCGGGCTCAGGAGCTCAGCAATCGGGTCTGGGTGCCACCGAAGAGGAGGAACTCCATGAGCTACAGCCGGTGCAGTTGCAGGATTCCCGTTCTCAATCGAACACTGATCTTAAGGAAGGTAACATGGAGGAGACCTCTACCGATCCCAAGCCAAAGACCCCCAAAGAGACGGCCGAGGAGCTTCAGGACTCATTAGAGGCCGGATTGACCTCCACCGCAGATCCTGCAACCGAAACCGAGTTGCCGTCTCCCGCACTTGCCAATTAGTATATTTAAGATGTCTTCGGACCACCATTTCACCCGTTCTCTAACCCAATACTTACACCAAGACACAACACAAAACATGACAAATCATAGTTTTGTAGGGCAAAAGGGGATTCAAGATGTTTCTCCACTTCGATAACCACGTTTCCGATTTAAATTACACAAATCCGTTAATAATAATTAATTTTCAGCTGCTCTTAAATATATACGCATGCTCACACGCACTTGACGAAATTCGTGATAGCCTTTTTGGCAAACTGATCCGTTTTGGATCGAAAGCGAGACACAGTCTCCCACTTATATCAATCAGTATCATTGAGATATCTTACAACACCATATAACCCATTAAGGGATTTAATTACACTGACTGCACCACCACAACAATATGTTTCTGAGGCATAGGATTCAAGGTATTTCCCCATTAGATGGTAACCACATTTCCGCTTTAAAATACACAAATTGTAACACCATTAAACTGAGCTCAATAAATGTAAAACCCACACTTACTTGACTAGTTTCGTGTTTAATCCTTTGCTTTTTTTGGTAAACCCATCCGTTTTGGACTGCCAGTTGGGTCAGAGAGTTCAGTTAAATCAGTTGTTAAAATAGGGTTTCGATTTCCAGAAAGAGTTTTGGTTGCCAACGCAAGGGGTTAAAAGGTTCGGCATTAGCCAGAAAGCCTTACGAAAATGTTCTCCTTTTCTTTTTCCAAGGAAGCCTTAGAATTTCCCAACCCCAAGGATTTGGTAATGAATATTTAATTGTAGTCGCTCCTGATTCACAGCTGATTTTATAATTTTGTTGATGTCTACATAAAATCTTGGTAACTCTCCAAAGGATACCAGTTGCGCATCGACAGTATCAGCTGAGTAAATTTACAAACATTGCGTGTAATCTGCGCAAACTCCCATCCAGGCTGTGGATTGTAAATATTTACCTCCTAGACCGACTAGACCAAAACAAACACTTGTTGGGAAGTGCGGCAAATCGGAGATAAACACGCGATATGCGCATGTCCTACTTCGGGACAGCTGTTCTCAGGGCTGCTGGCGAGGGTGGGTGGCAAAAGTGGGTCAAGTCCCCACCCTCCAACTTCAGTTTGCAGAAATTCCTCTACATTTAAACGAATTTATTCAATAAAATTGTGCAATTTCAGCGAAAAAACACCTTGAAAGTCTTATAAGGTCCAAACCGCTTTGAAAACTTCTATAATCATTCGGAGTAAGGCTCCCCAAAATTCGTGGGGTCAGAGGGCATCCAACAGATAGCCGTATTCCCTGTACAGATACACACGAAAAACGCAGTTTAGTTATAGAGATTTTTCTTCGTGGACGTGGCCTGCTGTAAAACCCGTAAAAAATTGCAAATTTATTGAAAAAACTAACCAATTTCGAGGTAAGTTTATTCCAAATATTATTCTTAGAGTGTGAAGTTTATGGGGTTTATGAAACTTTTTAGTTATCTATGAAGTTTCGTGTGTTTAAGCTACTTTTACTTTCAGTAGCATCTTGAAGGGCAGGACATTACGTAATAATGGGTGTGATTCTATTTATGGAATATTTTTTATAAAAATTACAGAATGCGAAGTCCCTCGGCAGCAGTTTCGACAATGCAAAGGATTTGTCTGATATAATGACTGGCAGCTTTAAGGTGCAACTCATCAACATGGGCACTCGTGCTGCCGCCTGTAAGTTGTCCCCAGAAGTCTCAAATTGAGGTCCTTTTTACCCTCTATATCTATCTTTCTCTTTCTTTGTATTTACAGTTCAGGCAAAATTGAGAGCCCTTCATGAATACCATGTACGCCTATTGCACAACGTCTTACCTGCGCCCTCTGGCGTCGATATTGCTAACAATATCAAATACTTTTCTCAAACTCTACTAAGTATAAATATATAACATACATATTTTATATATATACATATAAAATATTTTGAAATATTTTTCCCACAGCTGTCCTAAAGGATGTGCGCACCTCACCGCACGAACTTATACGCGATCCCCTCGAGGATCCCACTCGCATGTCTGCCTATCCCAATCTTGAATATGGCAACCTCTATAACGCTCTTACTATGCTCATCGATGTGGCACCTTGCATCCAGTATGGACAAATCGGTAGGTTCTTTTACTCTCACCAACCCCATATTAAATAATAAATTTTATATATTTTGTTTAGTTTTCGGGAAAGCCCTCTTGCAGTGCCTCAGCTGCATCCTACCCTTCCTAGACAAGGATCTTATCGATAATCTACCCTATCTAGTCAGCTCTACTATATCTGTGCTACCACCAGCCTTACACCAGGACATTGTCAATGCTCTATGCTACTATATACTACCATTTACCATAAGTAAGATAATATTATGATTTGGATCTTCCTTTAAAATTATAAATATATCTCTCTTAGCACGACGGAGCTCCGATGAGCAGGAGTGCCAGGCCTGCCAGTCTGTCTCCTCAGTTATAATGATGGTCCTGCAGTACTCCAACAACCCAGCACATCACTGCCAGTTGCTGGAGTGTCTCATGACTCTCAAACACAACGTGGTCAAGGACATCCTTTGCGTTGTGGCCTATGGCACGGCTGTCTCACGCTCCTCGGCCGCCAAACTGCTCTTCTACTACTGGCCCGCTTTCGACGCCAATCTCTTTGATCGCAAAGTGCTGCTCTCTAAATTAACTAGTAAGTTTTACTTTTATCTTTGCATAGATTCCAGATTTTACTATTCTCTCTCTATTTAGATGACCTTGTGCCCTTTACCTGCCAGCGGGAGCACTGCCCCAATGCCGGCAACGCAGAGGCGGCCAAGGTCTGCTATGATCATAGCATCAGCATTACCTACGCCCCCGACTGTCCGCCGCCCCTCTATCTCTGCATCGAATGCGCCAACGAGATTCATCGCGAACACGCCAACCTGGAGTTCGGCGACATCCTGCACCCCATGCAGCAGGTTTCCATGGTCTGCGAGAACAAGAACTGCCGCTCCAACGAAAAGTCCGCCTTCTCCATCTGCTTCTCCACGGAATGCGCCAGCTTCAATGGAAACCATCCGATCCGCTACTGCAGCCAGTGTCACAGCAATAGGCACAATTCGCGGCGAGGTGGCGACCACGTCGTCCATCGCAGCCTACAGCCCGCCTGGCAAATGGACCCCGAGATGCAGATGCACATGGTGGAGTCAGTCGTCAGCCTACTGCGTGAGGCCAAGCCTTTGAATTTTGAGCCTGGCAAGGAGTCTTCGTCCTCAGAGTCCAAGAAAAATGGCTCTTCTCTCACGGCCGACAATATTTCTCTGGAAGAACGCCAGCGTTTGGGCCGATACGGCATCTGGCTACTCGTAGGACGTTGCACGCCCAATGCCGACACTCCCGTGGAAGTCCTGGGCAGGATCCTCAGCATGCTGTTCCATTGGTTCCATGTCACCGCCTATTCGTACGATGGTAAGGGATGAGTTTCAAACAACATGGCGTATGCGTAATATTAAAAAAGCCATACCACACATACCCCATATTGCCAGCCTTTTTGCTCTTCAATGTTACTCATCCGCCATGTTACCCGAAATTATGATCTCCCATCCGCCATATTGATCTGAAATATTACTCATCCGCCATGTTGTCCTCAAATATTACTCTTACGCCATGTTTTCCCCTTAAAGTAGGCTACACTTTTTCATACTTGCATTCAAAACTCATTTAAAATTTCAGCTGCTGGTCAAGTAGAGAGCACCATAGAGAAGCTAAAGGTTGATCACGTGTGCAACTGGCTAAAGGACATTTGCCGCATCCACTACAACGTCTTCATCTCCTGTCTGCTCCCCCATCCCCCGGAGTATGCCCGAGTTGGTGGCCACTGGGAGACACTGGCCTCCAGGACCAGTCACCTCAAGGAGGGCCTCCAACGTTTGATTTGCCTGGTGCCATACGAGGTGATCACCTCGGAGATCTGGGACTATGTGATGCCACACTGGATGGAAGCCATCACCAACGACGTGGCCGAGAAGGAGCTGAACGAATTGAAGATCGTGCTAAGCAAGATACTCGATCCAGAGATGTCGCCACTTGGTTTTGATGCCAAGACCATGTACAACTTTGTAGCCATACGGTTCGAGAAGACGACGGCCAAGGTGCAGCAGCAGGCCCTTCACTGGCTACAGATCCTCACCAAGCTGGAGATCCTCATTCCGCTGGTCCAGCTTTTCGCCATGTTCGGTGACGGGGTGCGCATTATGAAGTATGGCATCCAACACGAGTTGATGAGGGAGAAGGATGCTCAGTCGCAGACAAAAGCCCCGAAAACTCCTTGCAAGGAGAGCAAGGAGACCAAGGCGGACATGGCTAATCCTCCCAGACGCAGCTCCATTTGTAAGTTACTATTGGAGTGAATTTTAAAAGTATATCTACAAGATTTCTATGTCTCTCAGCGCCCGTTGTGGAAGATGATTCTGGCAACACCTCTGCTATTTCTGATGATGAGGCCCCCACCAATCGCCACACGGAGTTCTCAACGGATGCCGAGCATAATCTCACCTGCTGCATCCTTATGCTGGACATCCTTCTAAAGCAGATGGAGCTGCAGGACGTGGAGCAGCACATGGGCATCCATACGAGCGTCTGTGAGAATGTTTCGCGTCTCATCAAGTGCATGGTGACGGCAGCTCGAGTGGGTCTCAGTAGTCACGTATGTGCCCTGAAGGTGAGTAGGTTCTTGAGAAAATCCTGTATAGATGTTATATATTGATACGTTTTCATAGGTCGCAGAATGCGCTTATTGCGAGGCATCTATTATGTGGCATCAACTCTCCACCAAGCTGGTTCAGTTCATGGCTCCACTGAATCCCGTCAGACCCCCTGATGTAGGAAATCTTTAGAACATTTACAAGAAAGAGATCAACAGTTAAACTTCACTTTTTGCAGGTACCCATTGAGGACATTATTGAAGAGGAGAAATCCTCGCGAAAGTCCCCGCCAGAATCCGACAAAGAGAAGACTCGCGATAGAGACGTTTCCCTATCCATGGCACCGCTACCCATTCCCCTGGGACCCCTTGGAGGCTTTGCAGGTATACCCAGACTTTCTGAAACCTTTTCATTTTATTTGGTGGCCACGAGATGATAAAACCCGGTTGTAACATAAACTGTCTATAAAGACCCGCCCCAGTTTCTATCCCGAAAACCACCCACTTATAAATAAACTAACCACCGTAACAGTAAAGCAGTGAAACTTCACCAAAAAGTAGCTAATTGTAGAGAGTACTTGAGCCTGGACATTAAATACATATAACTTTGTATAAAAAAGAGTTTGCGGGCGAGTGGCGTGGAAAGAGAAGTGGCCATTTGAAAAGCCCGCCTTAGACTAAAAACCCACGTTAAAGCGCAAACCGAACGTTGTTACAACCTACAACTAGATACCTGCACTGCTATGCCTTGTAAAGTACCTTCTTGCCCCCCGAAACTAAACTAATTCCCAGAGACTAAACCCAGATGTGTATGAACTAACAGCCATCTAAACCGATCACTCGCGCTAAACCATTTCCCATTAAGCTCATCCACTGTACTTATATTTTCAAACCATAACTATTTGTCTATCTACTATCTCTCTACCTAAATATGTATATTTGTTTCTCTCTCTCTATCTCTAACAAATTCTACTGCGCGTCTGCCTGTACAAAACTATAATATCTGTAACTAAACGCTGTCTCTATCGCTCGCACCCTATAAATATTTCGCGTCTCTGACACACTCGAAAACTTCCCGTATCTGCCAAAATGCCAAAAATGCCAATATGCCAAATTTAATCAACAAAATACCAATGTCTACTACTCATGAAAACTAATACCAAACTCAATTTGAATCTATCAATCATTATCAGATATCTTTAAGCTAGATCAATTCTTTTCAGACGATGGAAAAATTATTATAATGGCAGGTGATGCACCAACAGCAAATTTTTCATTCGTTACAAAACTAAAAACCAAAAACAAAAAAAAAAAATCAAAAATACAAATTACAATTAACATTACATTATCAAGCATTTGTTGAAACATTTCGTTACTCAACCGAATAAACTACAATCTTTTATTAACTCTCCACTCTACACGAACAACAGATTCCCCCACTCACACTGAAAAAAAAAATACAAACTATAGTTTCGCCAGATCCAACACTCTCTCAACACCAGAACACACAGAACCCCCTCTATCTAGTGAATGACTAGCGTAACCAAAGCTTTTACCTTTAGCTGACCCAAGTAGTAATATTACAGTCCCCCTAGAGAGTTCAGTTCCAGTTTGCCAAACTAGATCGATTTTTTTCCTTTCGGTTCGGTTCGGTTAAAGTCTTTCTTAAACACACACACACCTTTTCGAGATAATACTGCATACCACACATATCTTTTTTTCAAGTGATCTTTCGTTCCTCGGTAGGCAGTTCCCCGAAATTGGTAATATGGGACATATGATTCGCTTAGACCCCGATTGGCAGTGAAGTTAAACCCAAACACACTTGTTGATCCTGCATGAGATACTTACAATGACATCCTATTTCTTTTGGGACTTTTTTTTTTTGTGTATGTACTTGGCTGCATGATCGATTATTGAATGCGAATCAGTTGTATGTTGACCTAAAACTTCATTTTAGCTGGACTCGACTTCCCCGTTGTGTAACTCCTGTACTAATCCTGGTATTTTACTCTCTTTGCAAAGGTCCTGTGCCGGTGGCCGTGCCCCAACCCGAACCCCACTCCGTGGGCGGAGTGCTCGTCCACATGCCCCACGTCTGTTCCGTATGTATTTCGATCATAAGCATAGACCCCCACATTTTATCTTTAGTTGTCACCCATTTATTGACGACCAAACTCGAATTTGAAAGTTCTTTACACATTGCCAAAAAAATAATCTTATATAAAAACAAAAAAAAGAAAAGAAATAAAATTCAATTATTATACGTTGACTGTAGGTATATTGAAACACCTCATATTTACATATATCTATATATATTTTAAATATTTGCTATAAATATTCAAACTAATTACAGCAACAAGCAACACTAAGTTGAAGTGAGCATTCGAGTTGTTTCATTTTATAAACACACACAAGCTGTTTTGTTTGTTTTTACTTTAATTAACACAAATTCCAATTGAAAGTTTTCATTTTCAAAAATTGAAAATCGATAATTGTCCTACGATTATACAAAAGTTTTTGTTTCTTCGTATATTTTTTATAGAATAACGAAAATGGGCATTCAGTTGATAGTAATGAATTGAGAAAAGTTCACGCCACAAACGAGGTACTTTGTGCATTCTTAAAAAGAAATACCCAACAAAGACAAACAATTCTACCAAAAAAAAGCTATACAAGTTTGTTTTCGATATTAGTTTTTTGGTTTTCCCCCATTAAAAACCCCCCAATAATTCGACATTTGTAAAGTTCGTTTAACCCGCTTATACTTTTTTGTACTTTTGTCCAATCTTAAAATTTTACTCGTCGTGATAAGTGTAAATAAATGTACAGAGTGTTTTTCCTGTTTATTTTACATATTTTTTTAATAAAATTTAAATCTTTACATAATTTGTTTTTAATAATAACGAAGATTCTTAGGACTTATTAAGCCATTTAGTGGAGCGTTTTGATAACTAGCCTTAGAGAAACCTAGGTTCAAGATATATTCAATGAATTCTTAAAATAAAATCCATATATTCTTTACTTCAATATTTTTCTAGACAAAAAAATGAAGTCTCCGACATGAGGACAATTTTCTGATAGAGAAAATCCACACAGACGAAATTACTTAAATTATAAGCTTTAGATCGTTCCATCTTACAACTAGTCCTCTTTAATTTTCTAGTTTTATTTACTTACTTTGTTAAAACTGCTGTGTGTCAAAGTATCTTGTATGTGTGTGAAAATAAATTACAATTTATCGTATAAAGAGAAAAAACTCTAAAAACAAATTTTATATATGTAAATTTTATTCATTTCTATATTCTTATCAACATGTAAATATTGCGTTCCTTAATAATTTCCACATAACAGATTTTTTTATTTAAAATTTTTGGATCATTGTTGAGAAGCATGTTCAATGTTCAGCACTGTCACCAGTTACTATTTATGATTCACCCAACCACCGATGAATAAAATCGTTGTTAATATTACTCACAGAACTGCACAGAAAATGTAACAAATTTATGCAATATTTTACGTGTGTTATATGCCATTTTTATGTATATTAACTGACTTTTCAACCGGATATGTGAGTGTAAGCGAATTGTCAGTGCCCCGACCATTGCATTTGTCTAAATGTTTTATCTAAGGAATGTAAAATAATACCGTTCACACCAAAATATGTTCCAACCCGTGTATATATACGATGTAACTCTGTTTCCCACACCCACGGTCCAGACTCGCTCTAATGCCGCCCCCCTTGTCTTATGCAGATCATGACGGCGACGGTAGAAACTGTTTCAGAGCAGCTCGACCTGGCCTCCATTCTGCCCACAGACCGGGCCATAGCCCGCTCTATAACCCTGTCCGATGCGGACGTCGGCAGCGCCAATGTCAGCGTCACCAAGGCATCGGTCATGGGTGAGAACGGCGCCAATGGCACGGGAGCCTGTGGCGGCGGAGGCGGTGGCGAGAACGGAAGCGGCTCCGAGGAGGACGAGGAGGAGGAGGACAGCGACGACTTCTGGCACACCTCCGTGGGCAAGTTCAAGTTCACCCTGGATACGCTACCACAGCCGCTTCAGTATATTCATCAGCTTTTGACGGTAGGGAAGTCAGACTTTTAGAAACACTTCTCACCTTTACTTGCCTTTTAGGAAATCCCAACTATTAAAAAGCCGGAGATCCTGTACTATGTCCTGCAGTGCCTCAATACAATGGCCCTCCATGGAGATGCTCTGGCCAAGGCAGCCAAAGAGCAACGTGGCTTCTTCATCTGGTGCCAGGAGAACTTATTGATCAAGAAGTAGGACATAAAACTCCTTAATCCAGTTTCAGACTATAGGAATCATCTTATTTTTAGCCTCTGGGAGCTATGCAACGCGGAGCACTCTCACATCTGTCAGGTGGGCGTGCCACTGCTGCTGCACTGCATCACGCTGCCGCTCGGCTCGGACGTCTTTTGGCGCGTGGTGCAGGAGGCCTTCCACGACACGGACTGGCGCGTCCGGTTCACGGCAGTGGAGCGAGTCACCGTGATTACCCGTTTCATGGACTCCACCCCGCTGCGCTCCGAGGTGGGCCTGCAGACGGCCCTGGCCACCGCCTTCTGTCACTTGATCGCCAGCATGGACGACATCAATGTGTACGTGGCGCAGCGGGCTACCCTATACATCGGAACTATTCATGACACGGCAATTCGGTCGCTGCTCTTCTGCCTGGAGTCGCAGTTCGATCTGTTCATCGTGGACCGGCCGGTGGTCCTGCAATCCGTCTACCAGCTCCACAACTCCCTCTCTGACCGAAAGATGCTCGGCTGGGAGTTCTTCCTTAACCGCTTCGACACCCTCTTCGTGGAGGCCCAGATCAACCTGGAAAAGTGCGGCGACATCTCCTACTTAAGGGATCTCCGTAACTCGGACAACGGCAGTGAGGCCCTGTCCGCCAAGATCCAGAAGGCCCGGGAAGCTCTCAGCCAGTCCGACACGAGCGGCTGCATGGCCAAAACCCTGAGCGCCTCCTTTGGCACAAAGTGGCCCTACAAGCGGACCATGTCCGCCCCTGCCAGCATGGCACCGCGCCAGGACAGCAAGTTTAGTGAGTATCCCACTTGCAGAGAAGTTTACCAGTACTGGAATTTGTTGTTTTCGTTTTTCAGTTCCCGAGAAGGAGAAGATATACAGTCGGCAGGTGTCGGCGCCGATCCTCAAGAGGAAGACATCACGCTTCGGACTGGGTCAGTTCCTGGGCAGTAGTAGTGGGGGGGCCTCTGGCAGCAGCCAGTCGGCGAATCCTACGGCAGCGGGCTCCTCACGTCCCAAGCCGCCACCTTGTCCAGTTCACCAACCGTCGCACACGGCCTTTCCCTATCACCACCACCACCCGTACCCGCATCCACACCCTCACCCTCACCCCCACCATCACCCGCATCACCATGCCGGTAGTAGTGCACATGTAGCAACCACAACCAGTCTGGGCTCGGGCCACAGTCAGAGCCACCAATACCTGGTGCACTGCGTGCCGCCCAGTCACCATAGTCCGATGCCCACGCTGCAGGAGGCGGAGACGCTGCTCCGCTCCCAGGTAGCCGCCGATGCCGCCGCCGCAGCAGCTTCAGCAGCTTCAGGGTCATCGTTCATCCAGGAGGCATCGGGAGGATCCAACTCGGCGAATCCCCCGCCCCAACACTCTTTTCACTCCCACTTCCAAAAGCATCCGTCGGCACCCAACCTGCTGCCCACGCAGCCAGCCACCGTGCCGGCCCCTAGTCCCAGCCCCTCGGCTCTGGCTTTCCCCCTGCACTGCACTTGCGATGCCGCAACCCACCTGTCGCATTCGCAGGGCGCGGGTGCGGCGGCCACCGGCAGCTCGGCGAATCCAGGTAGGTGCTAGAGCATGTGTGTCCCGAGTTACATTTCTTATTATATAATTTTTTGTTGTGTCTTTGGTTTCTGTGTATCCCCTCCCCTCGATGGTGTCTGATGATCGGTGTTTTTTGGCGATCAACATGATGTGTAAACTACTTGCAAAGAATCGAAAGTTTTTCAAATATTTATTCCAGTTTCAAGGATATTTGCAATAATTAAGAGCAAAATGGTCTTGCAATAATCCAATTATTTTCAAAAATATATTTTTGAATTCGTAGAGGATTCCTTGAGAATAGTTTAGCCATTAATGTTAGCTTGCCCATTGTCGGTGTTGCTTTGGCTTGATATCAGTGTTAAAACCAAATCTACATTATCGTCAAGATCAGCGAATCCCGGAGAAATGATATACAACTTTGGCTTTTTAATAATACAAACCATATAACAGACAAGTAACATAGTTTCTATACTTATACTAATATTATTATTTAGCAATAATTAGCCACAAACTGGTTATAATTTTTTAGCAAGCAATATTGATTTGTTATAAGAAACATTTTATTTTTCAATTTGCATTTTAATTGAATTATTTATATTTTAAACAATATTTAACACAACAAATCACCATTTTGAAACGATTTTTAAGTGGCACGTCCATCACATGGATCACAAAAGCATGCTATACTTTTCATACTAAAATAATCATTTTTCATGCATTTTTTATTTAATAAAGTCAAAGAAAATTATAATAAATTTTATATAAAATATGTATATATTGTGTGTAATGTCCGTATTATTCAGCTGTGTGTATAACTTTGCTTCTCATATACAATGTCATTTAAGTGTGTTCCCCTCGAACTGGTATGTATGATCATTATCTTTATCGCGGATGACTCTATCACCCTCTCTATTTCTTTCTATCTCTCTCTTGTTCCCCATCTTTCTCTGTCTTCCCTCGACAAGTGTAACCTCCAATTTCGAAAATAAATTTTACTCAACAGAGACATTCCCTGTATATTATACAAACCGCAAAACATTTTCAATCTACATATACAAAAATCAATCTTATTGTGAAATTGGCATGTGGCTGAGACCGAACAAAAATTAAAAAGATATTGGTGTTTTTTCCCCATTCCCATCCAAGCAGATTCCTGATCCTACCTCAAATCATTACTAATAATACCATATAATATCGATCCTATATATAGATGGTCACATCCATTCGTTAGGCGGCTTGAACGATGAGAATCTGATTGGCTTGCTCTCAAGGATCACGGAACTGGAGGAGTCCGATCGGGAGACCATTCACTTGCTAGTCTTCATGCTCATGCAGTTCATGTCCCGCACGGATCAGGCCTTTCCCTCGGAGGACAAGCCAGTGACCAAGACCCAGAACATTGTTTTGAAGCATCTATTCCTTCTACTTGGACATAATCAGATCGACAAGACCTTCCACACCACACCGGAATCTCTAAGGTATGTTTCCGAAAATAAAAGATCTATGAAAGATCTATGATACCTTCACTTCTTTCCAGAGTGTCGGCCGTATTCAATGCCTTCCTGGCCAATTTGCCACAAGTCCTGGATCAAAACCACTTGATTGGTGGGCTAATCCTGCCCTCGGTTATGCAGATTATCCTTTATGCCCCGAATCCGACCAGTACTTCTGGCGAATCCTATCAGAACATCGTCTTCAACTACTCGTTATGGCACCTGGAACAATACCCCCGCCGCAACTGGCTCTTCACCCTGCTGGTGGTGCTCTACAAGTACTCGTACACCCAACCACCTCTCAGTGGCTATGTAATCTCTGCCATCCGGATGATCATGAACAGCTTGCGTGGTCACTTCCATCAGTGTCGTCGTATTCCCACAACCACCATTCTGGATATTCAGGGTGTGGGTGGAGCTGCCAGATCCCGGGATGTAAGTCAGCCATCTCTTGGTACTGACCCGGACGACAAAGAGGCCAGTCCTCCGGCCAGCCCGATGTTCCCTTCGGAGGGCACCAGTGCCGCCTCCAAGAGCAAAGGCCAGAATGTGGCCTTCACTCCCAAACTTCAGCATGCCTTCAGGAAGTACAACGACTCCAGTCTTGACGCGGATGAGACGGAGTCGGAACTGGTAGCCATTCCAGAAAGCGATCTTTCAGACAGTACTTTGCATGGCAGTAGCGCTCCGGTAAGAAAAACTATTAGATATTTTAAGATTAAATTTAATTTAATTTAATTCTTTTTAGGGTTCTTTTGACGACACCATTCACTTCGAGGATGTCATGCCCCGCACTCGACGCACTTTGGAATACACAGAAGAGGTAACGCCATTCCTTAAATCACAGTATCCCTATTCCCTAATATACTTTTATATTTTTTTACTCAAGAAATCGACAAAATCGCACAAATCCATGATCACCACCAAAGTGGGGGATACATATACCACAAAGATCAAGGCCACCACCAGCAGTGAGGTAACTACCCACACCAGACACAGTCTCCAGGAAGGAGTGCGCATGATTGTGACCCCTCTAGTGGGTGCTGAGACTACCGAGACGGCGATCATAAGTCCGCCAGTCGATGTGCACCGGGCGGTGACCGTCCGCAACAAGTCCCTGGAGAACGCGGCTGCCTCCACCTCGAAGATGTTTGCCGCCATCGCCACGAATCACCTGAAGGCACTGGGTGCCCTCCAGGACTTGCCAACAGGAGGAGAAAGGAAGCCAGTTGATGGATCCAGCAGCGGTAGTGGCAGTGGAAGCCGATCCGCTAATGGTACCGGTGCCAACGATAGCGGTGCTCTTGCTGCTGCTCCCGGACAGGCTCCAGGCTCCAAGCCTATTGGTCGCCACAAGACTATAGTGGAATGCAGCGCTGGAAACTCTAGCTCCTCGGCAGATGATTCTCGACAAAAGAAGACCCAAACCAAGTCCCTAAAGCGCGTAGACAAGAATTATGGCTCTCCGGAATCTCCTCTCTCCAAAATGAGTGTGATGCCAAATCCCCGGGACGAGGTAGACGAGGGTATGAAGAGCCTACCGCCTCCAAAGAGTATTGCTGCCTTGGAGATACCCACACCGGAGCGCCTGCTTCCCATTGGCACCCAGGACACGGTGGTCACCTTGGTGGAACGGGTAAGGGATGGCCTGAATCTGCCGGACATCAGCCATCTCAAACAGGACAGTCTGGACGTGTCGGAGAGCACCAAGGATGACGCTACTCCCAGCAGCCGGACCAACTCTCCACGCCGCTTGATTAAGCAAGTAGCGTTGGAGTCGCCACCCAATCCCAATGCACAGCTTCCTTCCCAGCCGCCAGCTGACTTGCACACCTCCATCTTGAAGAACGTCCAGCAGGAGCTGAAGCAAACTGCTGGTGGGTCCGGAGGAGCTGGTGGACTGACAACCAGCAACAGCATCAAGAGACCTCGCCAGAAACTGGCTCCCTTCAATGTGGACACCAACGCTATTCCGGACATCCGGTCACGTTTCGCAGGGTCATGGCCACCGCCACCATTCCAACCCGTGGATCCTGAGCCTGATGACGAGATGGATGAGGGCGAAATCGAAGCTAGCAATGGCCATGGACCACATGCCACTCCCCATGCTCCTCGAGGAGTGAGTTATTGAAAAACATTACGTTGTAGTTCTAATTATAGTAAGTGCCTTTTTCAGAGCTCCCGTCGGGTTGGTGATTACACCATCGTGGAGCGCTGCTCGGACTGTGGTGCCCATATCGAGGAGTACACCGATGAAGAGATTGGCATATTCATAGTGATCCTAGGAACTTTTATTCATCGCGAACCGGCAATGGCAGCCCCTTTCCTACCCGAGATTTTGACCATGACATCCCGGTAAGAAAATCATCTAAAAGTAACAGATAACCAAGACTACATCTTTCATGTTAATCCTAGAATCTGCTTGAGCTGCACTCACGCCTGGCAGGGTGAGAATGGCCCTCCATTGGCGAGCAGTGCCCAGGCAGTTGCCCTGCAGTTCTTCCGCTGCGTACTCCACCAACTAGCTCCCAATGGCATCTTCTTGCAGGTGTTCCAAACCCAAATGAAGAGTAAGTGGAAGGCAGAGTCGTTTGCACTGGAAGCTCAACATTAATCCTTATCTTTCAGTGAAAATCCGACACAACCACTTCCGCAGCATTGCTAAAGCTTTGCAGGATTTCCAGGATCTTAACGTCACCAGTCCCATTTACATGGTCTGCGAGTCCCTCATCTCCAAGAAGGCCCTGCCTATTGACCAACTTCCGGTCATTTTCCGTAACATGGCCGAGTACCTGAACCTCCAATGCGTTCCGGCCGAGGCTGGTGTAGGCTTGGCGGTCTGGTCCCAGGCGATGCAGGCCATGGAATCGCTACTCCGACAGGTCATTGTGATCATGCCAAGTCTAAGCAACGCAGAGTACATGCTGGACATCATTGCGGCAACTTTGCGGCTCAACTGTGTACCCAAAACCCTTTTAGATCCCTATTCCAAGATCATGGCCTATTGCGTGCAACACACTAATCTGGAGTACCAGACTCTTTACGAACTCTGCACCCTCAACACTCGCTCCTTCAGCAAGGATAGGGATAAGAACCTCCTCTGCCGGCAGATGATCTTCGAGTTCGTTCAGGCCCTCAAGTTCAAGACGAACATTCCGGACCATAATCTGCTCACAATTATTGGATTTGTTCTGCTTGACGCTGGCGGAACTTTGCCACCTGGAGCTGCTCCAGGTCTGCCAGATGCGGCTCCTCTTCTGACCACCAATGCCGCCGACTGCTTGAGGCAGTACATCAATGATGTGATCGATTTCCTGGCCGATTTCCACACTCTCAGCAAGATCAAGAACGGTCAGACGAGCAACGGTCTTGGCGAGGATACCCTGGGCGGAGTACTTAAGGGGGCTGTGGCCCAGTATCTGGCCCTGGAGATGTCCCGTGGAAACTCCCGAGACAACAAAGCCGTGGCCCGATATCTTCCCTGGCTGAATAATGCTCCCTCTTCTCTCCAACAAGGGTAAGTTAAGGAAGACTCAATGGTATCCTTTGATTTCTTAAAATATAATCTATTCCCAGACCCAAAGAGTTCACTGAATGCGTCGGACACATGCGGTTGCTATCCTGGCTGCTTCTCGGCTCACTTACCCACATGGCTCTAATGCAACGACGCCAGGAGACACACACAATTCCCACCCCAATGCCTCCGATTCCGGCACCTGGTCAGGGACCCATTCCCGCAGCCAGCGTCCACTACCAGCACCAGGGAGTAACCTACTCTCAGCCCGTACCACAAGAGGCATCCTGCCACATCGCCGACCACATACAGGTCATCTTCGCTGGCTTTGCGGAACAGTCCAAGACTTCCGTGCTGCACATGTCCTCGCTATTCCACGCCTTTACCCTGTGCCAATTGTGGACAGTCTACCTTGAGCAGATGTCCCACAACACGAATAACAATTCAGAGGGCAGCACGCTAGGTGTGCTGTTCGAGTTCTGGGCCAAGGTCACACCCTGCATTTTGCAGCTGGTGTCCCATGCCAAGCCAACGGCCAATAAGGACCAGCCGCAGACCCCCGTGGATTTCCAGACCCAGAGTGCCAACTCCAAGCTTTCCGAAATGGTGAATCTACACTTCCTTAGTCTGCTTGAGGCCCTGAAGGACACCAATTCAACGGTTCTGGGCAAGCTACTGCCCATGTGGAGTCCAGTGCTATCCTCGCAGACCCAACTTTCGGACACTCTGCATGTCCGCCTGCAGAACGTAAGGGACTACGCCCCAGATTACGAGGAGCAGCAGGCCTTTAAGTCGGAGGCTTTACTGAAGTGGCTTCAACGTCTCCAGTTCAAAATGGGACAAATTGAGCTCCAGGCTTCCACAGCCACGCAGTTCTACTCTATCTAAATTGTAAACATGCACCATGCAATAGTTTAATGCAGTCTTAATAGTAATTGTTGCTTATACGAATAAATATTTCACAATTTGTTTGAAACAATGAACCGGAGTTGGATTCTAACACAATCTCTGCTTTGAGGTTACTCGTAAACTGTGTAATGGATGCCACTAGCGGCAGATCCTCGATCCAGGATTGAGGGGTCGTGGACTTCATGCTCCTCGCTGACTTTTTGTCTGCCCTCGATTAGGAAATCCGTTTTAGGATTTCGGTAGTTGCGGAACGATTCCTTGGTTTTAAGTATTGTTTCTTCTGGAAGGCTAAGTCCTGAGGCTTTTCTTGTTTCTATTTGCTTAGCTAGACGCTGCTCAGCCTGCTGAATGCGTAGCTCCTGCAAAGGAATTGTATTTAAAATCAGCTCATGCTTAAAAATTTATTGATCCCTACCTTAATCCTTTGCATGTAGTCCAGTTGGAGACTAGCCGATTCCGCGAGTGGTACTAACTGCACCTCCTTATGTTGAATGAGCGGTGGAGTTGCTGCCGTGACCTCCCAGTGTTTGCCCTTTTTTCGCATGCGCTCCTTATCGGGATCATGAACATTTGAGACCGTAGTACGAAATGGTCTAAACTTTTCCCTGGTCGAAGGATTAACATGGACTTCTGTTTTGTCAATTAAATACCGGGCATGTTGTTCAAGAGGTTCCTCTTTACTCAATTTGGCGGCTACTAGACTAGCATCTACCTCAATTATCTCTGCGGGAAGAGAGCTGGTGTCGCTGTGATCGTGTAATGCTGAATCTGGTGAATCTGTTGGCTTTTTAAAGTCCTCAATCTCTGCCAGATCTTCTGCCGTTATGAGACTGGCAGAAGGAGGAATCACCTGAACCTTTTTCTCGTGCATGGTGCCCTGGGCAATAATCTTTAGTGGATCCATCTCCAACTCGTCGTCGCTGTCTAGGATGTCGTCCACATGGGCACCCTCATCTGCTGTTCTGCCATTCCACTCTAGATTGCTCAGAGCCACCTTTCCTTTCTCCGCAATGTTTAGGCCACTAAGAAGTCGAGTAGCTTGCTCCACTTCATCGCGTTTCCTGATCTCGTCCAGCAACTTATCGTAGGACTCCTGGAGGCGTTTTCCTTTATCGGGCAACTGCTGCAAGCGCTTTCTGGCAATAAAAAGCGGCAAAATCAGTTTCAAAAGCGGGAAAACTCCACAGGTTAGGGGAAAAAACTCACTTGAAGGTAAGAAAGGTCGCCTGACGATCCCGCATCTCCAACAACTGCACATAGGTTAGTGTCTTTAGATCCTTGCTGTGCTGCTCCTTTACCTGGCTAGTGCCAGGAATACGGCTTAACGGAGGAGCAACAAGATTTTCGCTCATTTTTGCTAGCTATTTCAAAATTGGTAAATAAATAAGTTTCAAGCTGGCCAGATTTGGCTAAAAGTTGCCAGACTTGCACCTTTTTTTTGAGGCTGCCACTCGTTTGAACTATTCTTGAATGATATTTTTTTGTCCCTGAATTCGGAATATCTTTTTTGGGAATCTTCCACTCCCTTTTTTAAAAAACTTTATAACTTTCGTTACGTTTGTTCGGTCAAAAACCAATTTCATTTACAAAATGCGTTCTGGTTCTCGGTTTTTTCAAAAATTAAGAAGTTATCGAAGAATGAATATCGATGACCAATTTCAATTTCGATATTTTTGGCGCGCAATCAAAATTTTATATAAATATTACTTTTTTTAGCTTAAGCAGCTATTATAGATTAAATTCATTGAAGTTTTCCAAAGAATGCATGCTTAGGTTGAAAATATATCTTTACAAAATAGGAAACATACAATTTTAAGAATAACACCTGTACATCATGATACAATTATATAATTGTATCATGCTGTACATTAAAACTAAACATCAGTGGAACATCTTTCAAACATTTTATAACAAGCTAGGTTGTAAAAAAAACGGTGTAGTGTCCCCCATGTGCCGCATAACCAAGCTAGTACTGTACCTTATTGTGTTCTTAATAGTTTTGGGACTTTTTACCGCCGGAATGGCGGTACTGGTGATGCACTTCCGCGTTTCCTCGGAAAAGCCAGGAGTAGTAGTGGAGTAATGGAGTAGTAGCCAGGAGCGGAAGTAAAAAAAAATAAAATTAAAAATATAATAATAAATATAAACAAAACAGCATTCGAAAAGCTTTCAAACATTTTACACAAACATGCCAAACGATGCGATAATCTACTCTGGTCGCTATGAAGTTGGGCGCCTCCGTCGCCGGCGGGATCAACGAATTCAGGATTACATTTTCCAGCGATCCAAGCGGACCAGTAATCCCCCCTTAGAGTGCAGTATGTGGCGTATAGCCTATCTAACACTGTACTTGATTGTGTTCTTTGTGGTTCTGGGATTTTTTACCGCCGGAATGGCGTTTCTGGTGATACACTTTCACATTCCCTCGGAAAAGCCCGGAGAGCTGAAAATGCCCGGAGTCTGCACGGCTCCCGGCTACTACGTTGGCGATGTGAAGCACATCCTTTGGTCCGAAAACCGTCCTAAGGAGCTGGGTGCTTTCCGAAGGCAAATGTCCAGCCTAGTTAGGCCCTATGGCATCCATGGTGCCACGCGAATGCTTCCCTGCAACCTAGACGACAGCTATGGATATGCAACCGGCAAACCCTGCATCCTCATAAAGCTCACCCAGGCCCTAGACTTCGAGGCGGTCACCTACAACGACGGAATAACCCTGCCCGATGAAGCCCCGGACGAGCTATACGACTACATAGTGCAACTGGCCACCGAGGACAGACTGAACCGCATCTGGGTGGCTTGCGAGGTGACGTCTCCGGAGAATCTAACCGTCAGTATCGAATATGTACCCTTTCGATATTTTGATGCTGACGCCCTCTTCACCCGGGGTAATGTCTTTCTCAATGTATCCTCGGAAAATGAAAGCGGACAACATTTCGAGAATCCGGGGCTGAGGCGCTTGATCGGAGTTCAGTTTAAAAACCTTCCCAACAACATTGACATCTTCATTCTCTGCCAGGTTTGGGCCAAGAATATCCCGCTAGATGTGGGCTCGGCCAAGTTTATGATGCATATCACTGCCCCAGTGCCAGCAACCACAGAACCCGACTACCTGGACGGCCTGGAAACGTGACATTGGTACCATGATTAATTTTAATTGTTGAAATGTACATAATTTATGTAAATAAATCTTTAAAAAAATTATAACTAATACATCCAATGGCATCCACCCGGTAGTGGTATACAAAATGGTTTATAATACGTTTAAATTTTAATTTTAAATGATAGAGATATAGGAATAATAGAGTTATCATCGAGATAGGTTTCATTCTCAGAAAACATTCTGAAACATTGTGTACACCTACAATACAACATACAAACAAATATACAAACATCCACTTCTCTATTAACCCAACGAAACGCAAAGATGCCCGAGGATAAGATGGTCGCTGCTGGGGCGTACCGGCTCAAGAAGCAGTTCCGGAATGAGATTTACAGGCGGCGGGATAAGGACATGCCATGGCAAAAGAAAATTCTCGATCTGGACCAAAAGAAGGTGTTTGGTAGAACGGCCTGGGCTTGGTGCCGAATAATCGGATACTACATGTTCCTCTATGGTTTGATCGCTATAATCCTAAGTTTCTGGTACACGCTCTTCCACTTCGTGATCCTTGAGAAAGACAGGCCGCGCTGGCTGAAGAATGCTCCGGGGATGTCAGTGTTTCCCACCAACCAGACCACTGTTTCGTACTACAGTAACCTGATGTCTGACATTGTTCCCCTGGCGAACAAAATCGATGATATGCTGCACAAGCTTAAGGACGATGCTGTGGAATATTTTAGTTATTGCAACGACGACGAGTTGTGGGGCTTTGCGGCGGGCAAGCCCTGTTTTTTTATTAAACTGAACTATGTGTACGGCTTTACGGCAAGCACTTACGAAACCGTCAACGAGCTGCCCAAAAATGCTCCGACGGAGCTGGAGGAGCACGTGCAAAAATTTGGCGGAGTAAACAGGATCTGGCTCACGTGCAAAACGACCCAGGGTCCCTCTCCCAAAATTGAATACATCCCGGGTCCGTACTACACCGTTGCGCATCCAATGAAGGGCACACAGAGGGTCATTGCAGTCCAACTAAATGAGTTGGCACCGAATACGGAAGTTTTCATTACCTGCAAAGCCTGGGCTCGAAATATTCCCGTTGACCTACAGTTCAATGGCAAGGGTCACGTCAAGTTCTCGATTTTAATGCATGAAGTCAGTAAGCCGCTATTGGATCCTGTGGAACCCATCACCGAGGAGACCGCTCCTCCAAAAGGACTAAAACCGGAACGCCTGGAGGACTTCCAGCCCAACTTTGATCTACCGGATATACCTCGCCCGGAATTAGAGCCGCCGGAAGGAGGGGCTAATGTGCCAAGCCTACCCCTTACGGAGCCATCGCTGCCTGACCCTCAGGAAGCCCAAAGACAAAAACTCCTTCCTGATTTAGAGCAACCTGAGGGATTGGGTGATGTGCCAAGCGTACCCCCCAAAGAGACACCGCTAAGTGCTCCTGATGACCTTCCACCGACGGAACCTCCCAGTTGATCACTCTTTTATTCAAAGTAAAAGACCCCCTGACCAGGTAAAATTCCGATGCTATGTTTCATAATGTTACTTTGTGGAGTTTTACCTTGTCAGAAGGTTTTTTATTTGATTCCCGTCCTTTTGTACTCCTGCATATGTTTAGATTTTCATCTTCCAAATTAAAAAGTTGTATGAATTGTACTTCTAAAATTATATTTTAAATGAAAAATAAATCCACGAATCCCTTCATTGAGTTATATTTCATTCTAGAGGAGTATAAGGAATACATTCATTGTTTTAGTACAAATTCATACCTTTTCCCCTTCATCATCATTGAATCCCAAAGATGCCGGAAGATGTTATGGTCCCCGCTGGGTCTTACAAGGTGACCAAGCAGTTCCGAAGTGAAAACACTGTTCGGAGCAAGAGGGACATGCCTTGGTCGAGAAAAGTTCTCGATCTGGAAAAGAAGAGCCTGTTTGGAAGGACGGCTTGGGCCTGGATCCGGATTTTCTTGTACTTTTTGGTCTTCTATTTGTTCCTATACGGGTTTTACTTTATATGGCGGACAATTATATCAAGTATCTTCATGTTTAAAGACAGACCACGCTGGTTCAAGGGTGCGCCAGGCTTATCCGTGTTTCCCACTAACGAGACCACTATTTCGTACTACCAGCACTTAATGTCGGACGTTTATCCGCTGGCAGACAGTATCGACGATCACATGTCCAAACTCAAAGACAACGCCGAGGACTATTTCGAAGAATGCAATAACGACAAGTTGTGGGGATATCCGTCGGGCAAGCCCTGTTTATTCGTTAAACTGAACTATGTGATGGGTTTCATTCCGGATACGTATGACACTCCCGGCAGTCTGCCCGTTAAAGCTCCCGAAGAGCTGTCGGATCTTATAAGAAAATATGGCGGCGCCCCTAAGATCTGGCTCACGTGTAAGGTCATCCAAGGGCCAAGTCCTAAAATTGAATATATCCCTGGGCCGTACTACACTGTTACCGGTGAAATGAAGGGTACTGCTAGAATAGTTGCCGTCCAGCTGAATGAATTGAAACCAAATTCAAAAACTTTCATTAGGTGCACGGCTTGGGCAAAAAACATTCCGATCAACCACGAGTTCAATGGTGTGGGTCATGTCAAATTCTCAATTGAAATGCTTACAAAGACCGGCGAGAAACACGAAGCTGATACCTGGCGAACCACCGTTCCTCCTTACAAGCCCGATCCTGGCACTAAACCCGTTGAGCGACCCGAGATTAACGATTTATTGGACAAGCAAGCTCTACCAATGGTAGAAGGAGAAGTGGATGTACCTCCCTTGCCACCGCTGGAACCTTCGGTAGGGAATCCCCACGATGGCCCACCAAAGGAGCCTCCCAGTGTATAACCTTTTCTCTAAGAATGAATCCTAAAGAGTCAATCAAAATTCGGATCAAAGAGGTGCAATCAAAATTAATAGTTACTTTTTCTAACGGACTCGATTTCTTGTGATAACGAAAAAATTTCGTACTTTCGTACTTTGAATTTTAGTTTTTCTAGGAGCAATTCAAAATTGATTAAGGAAACCCCGGCTTATTTGGACAGCAACTTTTGAATAAATACTACAAAATCCATCTGATACTTATTTAATTTTTCTAAAATAAAATTTAAAAAAATACTGAGAATAAAGCTTAAAAAAATACTAGTAACCCAACGAACATATCGCCAGGGCTGGCGATGCAATCGATAGTTTGCTCATCTCTAAATATGACCGCCCTCTACCAACGGGAATCGATGTTTTGGACTGACATCGAATCAAAATTTGGGCTCCGACACGCAGTAACTTAACAACAAAAACTCATTGCTAATATTACTGCCGCCTATTTGTAAGCGCCAAACGTATTCGACATCTGGCAAAGCGGTCTCCCCAGTTGTACGTCATTGCTTAATTGATAAATTTGCGGTAAATCAAGGAAATCACTTGGTTCTCTGGCTGGTGTCAGCCGAAGACTGTGTCCGTGTGCCTGTGGGTGTGTGTGCGTGTGCATATGACTCGAGTTTTTTGCCGACAATCGGAGTAAAAAAATAAAAGTTGATTTAAAGTTTGCAACTAAAAGCCGCTGAATTGGTGGCCGATAAAGTCGTTTGATAAACAAAAGTGCGAGTGTGAATGGTGACCCCCCCCATCAGCACCACCGCCCACCTTAAAAAAATATATATAAATTAAATATAGAAGTGCGTGCCAAGGTTAGGCGTCGAGTGCAAGTGCATTATATGTATGGAAATGAAAATTTTGCCAAAAAAAACCAAAGCCAAAGCTTCTAAATTCAAATAAAATCTAATTCTGTACTTACCCTCACTTCCCCTCTCTCCAACACAGCAACTCAAGGAGGAAGAAGAAAAGCTAAATATTCGGAAAAAATGCAGATCAAAGAATTGTGAGTATCCCAAAAAAAAATAATAATTTAATTATTTTAAATGGAAAACATTAAAAAAAAAATTATTTGCGACAAATCGATTTTACGCTCTCTCTCTCTCTCTCTCGGAGACGCTCTCTTGCTTCTTTGCCTGTCGGAGGGACTCTCTCTCTCCCTCCGAGGTAAAGTTTGGCGTCGTGTTGGCTGTGTTTTTGTTGTTGTTGTTTTCCTTCGAATTTAAGTTTGCGGGCATTTTCCGCAAAAGCAACAAAATGTATGGTTTTCTTATCAGCCCCCTCTCCACTGCCAAGGTTTTCCCTCTCTGGGCCCTCCCCCTTTCCCACGGCTATTTTGGCAGATGTGCCACGGTGACGTAATGAACTTAAAGTTAGCCCGTGATACTGGAGCTAGTTAGGATGAACTTGACTGTTAATATCTAGTGTATATGTTTGACTTTTTAATTATTAGTCAGTTACAGGCAGTTACTTTGGTTCGCATGGCGCCGCCACGTTGCCGAATTGGAATTGTTGTTGTCGTCATACTGTGTGAGTCACACGCTTTTGCGGCTCGGCTGCGACTCTCTTTCGTCGCCATTCGCCGACTTTAATCAAACAAGTTGTTAAACTGCGATAAGGTCGTTGCGTAAAGCCTCCTCTGCCCATTGACTCACTATATGGCTTGAATCCTTTTTTGAATCCAGAGGCATCCTCCCTCTGTCATACAAATGCCTCTCAATCAGCACCAGCCTCGCATTGGCAAATCCCTCACGTTTCTCTCACTTGGCAGTGATACTCTTCATTTATTGGCGGAAATTGCCAAAAAAAAAACAGAAAAATTGAAATTAAATTGGCTCAGTAATTGATTTTGTTGCTAAAGACCAGTAATTGATAGGAAATTCAAGCAAATTTCAGTTTTCATCCAAAAAAAAATGGAAAATTCGCACACACACATATGGTTACTTTCTAATCAGTTCTAATAGTTCTCTAATCAGCTACGTTACACAATTGCTCACAATCTGATTATGAGCTGCGATCGACCATAGAGTCATTTGCTGATTATTGATTGATAGGAATATAGCCTATAAGGGCCTATAAAGCCCTAGATTTACTTCCAAAGAATGAATAAATATTGGGTTCTGATTAGAGTTTAAGGTTGGGGTTTGAAATAAAATTAAATAGGTGATGTCCGGTTTGGGATATGTATATTTTCTTTACAAAGAATACATAAATAAAACGACAAAAATTTAATTTTTGATAAAAAGGAAGAAAATGAAGCTTAAAAAAGGTCTTGTTTTGCTGACTTAATAGCTAGAAAAAATTATAATAATTTTTTGAGATATATTTCTGATTCACACTTCTAAGAAATATATCCAAGTAAATTGTATAAAATTTTAAGACATATCGTTAGAGCCGTTTTTTTTTAAATTGGACTCAAATCGAGCACTGACTTGCTTTTCGAAAAAAAAACATTAAATGTTACTGGGTCTGTTTATCTTAAAAAAATATAATATAGTATAAAAAATATAATTCTAAGAAGATTAAAGTTCACGAATAATATATATTATTATAAGCAATTTCCAAGAAAAATGTTTATTTTAAAAAACATTTCAAACTGCCTCCATTAAATTCTTAACTCGTGTAAAAGGAAAAAATATTAAAATTTGCTACAGATGCATTAAACAGAAGCTAGTATTAATATTTAATAGTTCAAAAAATGCCGTAATTCGGACAGCCTTTCCATTTGAAAATGTTTTATTTTTTTTACGGTCAGATTTTTCCATTTTCCTCCCGACTGGCGGCTGTAAACCATTTGGCGATGAAATTTTCAACACTCATCATTAAATGAAAAATGAAATAAAGGTGGAAATAGAGGCAACGCGTGGCTGCAGCAGGTTGATAAACAATTTGAAATGGCCGGTGGCCAGTGGGCCAAGTGGAAATCATAAAATGAATCACAAGCATCGGAAATATCAACTGAAAGGTAGCCGCAAGGGATGTCAATAGGCGGCTGCCGTTTGCATGTTGCATCCGATATTGTGTGGTTAGTTATTTTTTTTTTTTTTTTGCAATTGTTTACATTAAGGTTTTAAGTGCTGCAGTTTATTTATTGACGAGGCTAGAATGAAGTGTTTAAATAACACCGATTTCATGTTTCAACAACGCTGTTTCAGCAGCGTTTATAGCTCTATGATATGAGGTTGGGATGATATGAGCTATTTAAGATAATTAAGCTTATAACTTTTAAGCAAAGTTCTCTAAAAAGTAAGTGGCTCTGTTTAGAAACATAAAAAATATATTTCATTTAAATTTCAACACATTTCTGTGAAAAAAGTTTAAGATAAGAGTTATAGTTAGTTAGGAACTCAGCCTAGGGTTAGGGTTTTCAAGTTCAAAGCTTGTTTACAATACCACTCGTCATAAACTTGGGCTAGCGTGACTTTTAGTGCCCTCCACTGATTGGCGTACTTTGTATCCGCACATCCACATATGTATCTGATGGATACCTTCTCCATACGACGCTCTCGCAATCAATTTTGAAATGGCACGAGCTCCAATTTTGTTCCGCCATTTGTGTTTTTTTATGTTCCGCGATAAGATAACACGCAGCGGTCTGGTTTCGTTTGTTTTCCTATAGTTTTAGTTTGAAATTCTAGCCATACTCATGGAATAACTAGAGTTTGTTATGGTACTTGGGTTTGATTCAAAAAATGATTGCCAAATAGCCGCTTTTGTGAGTACGCTTCATTAAATATCTTGTTATGACTTTGTTTAAAAATGTCCACTTTTGAAAAGTGCTTACTATATAAATGCAGGTAATTGTATATTTTTGTATTCAGAGCCATTAACCTTAGAGCTCCATTAGCATAGAGTGTGGCCCAAATGAATAAAATTCGAACGTTATAGAGGTCGGAGCCAATAGCTTCAGTTTCATGAGGGCCAAGTTCAGTGAGTCACTGAAAGCCCCCTACGTGTGACATCTTCATTGCGGGCAAATCAATTATTACACAGCCTTCAGAGTGGCTCCCAGTGCCCAGTGGGCGTCCCACTAGGCCGTAACGCCCACCCCCACGCATCACTTTCCGTTTTCAATTATGGACCACCAGCCAGAGCAAACAACCGCCACCACAATGGGGTTAAAGGAGAAGGGCTCTCGAGGGTTTCTTTTGGCAACTTTGGTCTCATTAAGAGTTCTTCAATATTCAGCCCCTGCCCTGTTATGATGTTATTGTTTTCTGGCTCTTAACCCTCCTCCGATGTGTGTGCCGATTTCTTTTTATGTTTTTGTTTTATTTTTTTTGCTTAATATCTTTATTGCTGTGCAGTGTGCTCTGATTCAGACACTCGTCTATATCGTTTGATCTCTAGCATTGGGATATTTGACCTAGTTAGATGTTGTTTCGACCAATGCGTACTCGTCGCGGTACTCCCTCCCTCCCTCTTCGGGAAACTTATCTTTTGGGGGCAGAACTTTTGTCACACAAACACGTTCCGATTTGTTCTTTATACCTGGTACTTGTGGTTACTCAGGGTATATTGGTTTAGTGCGAATTTATAGATAATATATCTTTTGATATGTCATTAGGTATACAAATCTTGGATTAGTTGTGCGTCATTTTAACGCATCTTTAACAAATGTGTCTTCGAGACTATGAGAAATTGTGCTACTAGACTGACTTTCTACTAGAAAGACTCAGAAAGATAGATAGATATAGATATTGGGATATAGATACAAATTATTAAAATTTGATAATTTTCCCTAAAAAGTCGATTTTTCAAGGCTTTTTAAGAGACCAATCAGTTTTCCTATTCCAGTGTCTTGTTCCAAAGCACCCAAAAGTATGCATCAAAATATTATTTGAAGAATCTTATATTTTTTTAAGAATTGAAGGATTTAAGAAAAGGGAAGTGTGGGGTATTATACAGTCGATAGCCTATTCTTCCTTTTTTTCGCCTTCTAATAATATTCCTTTTTCTGTACTTTTTGGTAATCTGTGTGTGTGTTTCTTTTCAAAGAAAAAAAAAACGCTCCACAAATAAAGGCCTGGTAGTAATTTTTTATGGGCCATTTATTTGCGCAAAACTTTTACAATTTGAATTGATTAAACGACAAATGCTGCGTGGAAATTTGTTGAAAAGAAAAGTTATTCCATTTTTGAGATGACAGAGGACTTACAGTTTTTAAAGAATTAAATTTCTCTTTAAGTTATTACCAGTATTAGTACTTTATTCTAAATTAATTTAATTAGGCACCTTAGCTTAACCTGAACTTTAGTTCTCTAAGTTAATTACTGAAAAATGAACCCAAGTTCAACATAACTTCATAAACTAGCTTTCATCTTGTTTTTTGGGGAAATCCCCCGGATAAACTGAGCCAAATTTAAACATTAAAACGGGGAGCTCCCACCTCCTCTATGAACTTTAACCTTTTCAGGAGCTTGCACATACATAGTTTGCCAACTCGGAGGAAGGCACATTAAAGTCTCGCACTACTCAGACCACGCCTACCAGTTGCTCGAGTCAGTTGGCAATTAGGAAACACATCATTACGAGTGTCAACAGTAGGCCGAAAGGTTAATTGCGTCTCCAAGACTACCCCCCCCGCAAACAAAGCAGTTCATTTCCCGTTCTCCTCCTCCGGTCTTTTCTTGTCACTTTTGATTGTTCTCGACGTCGTGTCGTGTTTTCTCTGGCCCCGGTTATATTCCATTCTTGGGCCAGGACACGGTTTAGGTTCTTTATGGCCAAGGAGCTTTAGTTCGCACCTTACGCGAATGAAAATGCATGCCAAGGCTTCCGTCGGGGAGCAATTTAGCATTTTATTTGCTGGCAAATATGTCATTATTTGCGAGAGATGTTTACCTTTTTTTTTTTTAATATTTTTTTAAACTTTAAGCTGCCATTGTTGGCTAACTGCATTACTGGTTTATTAACCAAGTCCCGAGCAATTAAATTGTCGCCGAAACCGCAACAAAAGTCAAGCCATGCGAGCAAGTTTCAAGGCTGCCATAATTATGTGGCAAGCCGCGTACCCCCCCAGTTGTTGCCAGGCGACCTTTTTTGGTAATTAGAGGATGAGTGTGTGGGCCGGAAGTGGGTGGTTGTGCCATGGTTTTAGCCTCAAGCCCACATGCATTCCAATAAAATCAGAAAACGACAGTAAACTTTTGGTTTTAATTTAATATTTTTGCGTTTAATGTGGAATTTTAATCATGAAAATAGCTTTTATTTATTTTATTCAGGGCTGCATACTTTATGGCTGAAATGAAAGACACAATGTAGTTCCCTAGTTAAAAGAACTTGGTTGAAAAGTGAACAAAATAAGACTCTTGACAGGACAATAGAGCTATTGGAAACAAAAGCAGGTTATTCTACAAACCCTGGTCATGTTTCTGATTTGTTTTTCAGACAACTGTTTGCTTTTGCTGGAAAACTAATTTACTGAAGTTCTACCTGCAATTAATTGCAATATTTTTCTACCAAAATCGATAGGCTTGTTGACATTTTATTTATTCTACTTTGTTAATATTTGCAACTCTACCATCTCTACCCACCTGAGAGTATCAACAGCTTTTTGTTATCCAACCTGGATATTTAATTAAAATTGTTATATTAAACTTAATTAAAAACGTGTAGCCATTATGCATACAAACGACCTGACACTGTTATTGTTTTTGTTTTTCATTGCAGCCGAGTGACTTTGCCATTGACTGTGGAAGAGGTAAGGACACAAAGGATAATGGAAGCTCTATAGGCCACTGAATAACTTTAACCTTTATATCCAACCTATAGTACCAAGTCGCACAATTATTCTCGGTGGCCGAGGCATCAAAGGAGAACACGGGAGGCGGCGAGGGCATCGAGGTGTTAAAGAACGAACCCTTCGACAACTTTCCCTTGTTAGGTGAGTTTGTAACAAGTTGAGGTAATAGTTATCGGATTAACATTTATTATTCTGTCCTCGGCAGGTGGCAAATACAATTCCGGTCAATATACATATAAGATCTACCATCTGCAATCAAAAGTTCCAGCGTACATAAGACTACTGGCGCCCAAGGGCTCGTTAGAGATCCACGAGGAAGCTTGGAATGCCTATCCCTATTGTCGGACGATTATCACGGTAAATATGAACCGAAAAATGAATACATTTTGCTGAAAAGGGCGGGATGACAAGGCAGTTTCCACAAACCGCAATGGAGTGTTAAATTTCTGATTATTTTGATTACGTTGCTATTTTAGAATCCCAAATTCATGAAAGATGCTTTCAAAATAATCATCGACACGCTCCACGTCGGTGATGCAGGCGATTCGGAAAACGTAAGTGAAGTATTTAAAGCACGATTTAACTAACTGGTGTTTTCTACTTTCTCTCCATAACACAATCTCCTCACCAACGTTCTTCGTCCATCTATGATTGCACTATGATTTCCATTTCAAAATTCATCATCAAAAATTATTATTTGGCTTGCTTTGGTTTTGGTTTGTTGATCTATCAAGAATCCTGGTTATATGAATAAAAATTTTAGAGTAGACGTCTATTCGAACCATTTAGAAAATGATATTGGCTTTACGGAGAATGTAAGTGTCATTTATTTGGTCCTTTTATTTGCCGCCCGCTGCTCTGTGATGCTTTGTAGCCATATTTTGCCATCGATCCATGTTTTTGTAGTTAAAAGCTTTAAATGTGTGTCTCTTTTGGCAAGAATAAGTATTTATAAACTTGTGTGTGTCTTGCAGGTGCACGAGCTGACGCCAGACAAGCTAAAAGTGCGCGAGGTGATACACATCGACATTGCCAACGATCCGGTCTTGCCAGCGGACTACAAGCCCGAGGAGGATCCAACCACGTAGGTTCCATTAAATAACTAGTTCTGATTTAAAAACTAATATCAAATATTATATTTTTCAGCTATCAGTCAAAGAAAACCGGACGTGGTCCTCTGGTAGGACCTGAATGGAAACGTCACGTTGATCCTGTGATGACCTGCTACAAGCTGGTCACGTGCGAGTTCAAATGGTTCGGCCTGCAAAATAGAGTAGAGACCTTTATACAAAAATCGGAACGACGCCTTTTTACAAACTTCCATCGGTAATTAGTATTGATTAGTATTTTTATATAAAATAAAATTTTATCTTATTATTAACCATTTTTAGGCAAGTTTTCTGTTCAACTGATCGCTGGTACGGTCTGACAATGGACGACATCCGCGCCATCGAGGACCAGACGAAGGAGGAGCTGGACAAGGCGCGGCAGACGGGCGAGGTGCGGGGCATGCGTGCGGACGGCGATTAAATCTAGTAGAAAATTGTAAACAAAACTATGTGTATGTAAAAAAAAAAGAAAACCAGGCAAAACCGAAACTAGAAGGTAAAAAAAAAAGAAACTGAGAAACAAATTAATGAAATGGAGATAAAATTGCATAAATAAATTTAAAAAAAATACAAAAAACTAACACCAAGATAAAAAATACAAAAACAAAATGAAAGCAATTCGAAGTAACGGCTGCTGCATCAACAAACAAACAACAAAAAACAATGCAAACACCAAGTGTACGACAACCGCAACAACAAGCTTAGTTCTAGTATAGCACCAGACAAATTAAAGAACCTCTGTACTGTACACACAGTTGCAACCGCAGTAAGTTAGTTAAGTTCCTTACCCCGTACATTGTATGTAAATGTAGTTGCAAACCCACGAGGACACTACACAACAAAACAAGGACAACTGTTGATGGCACTTTCCCCGCATCTGTGCATCCTGAGCATCCGAGAACACCAATTGTTTAAGTTGCATTTTGTAAATTGTGAAAATAAACCAAATGACAGTTAATGTATAAAGTTAAACGCAAGCATCCGGTATGTATGTATCGATGATAGAGAGGTCGAGAGGTGAGGCGAGTTCAGAGCATTTTGAATATGTGATTTTTGCGGAGAAAGCGGCATACGACATGTACATAGGCAGGTCTATATTTGCATTCATTGGTTATGCGTTTGTGGCCTGTATTTGATTTGCATTTCGAAAAGTCAATGCAACAGCCTGAGATCCCAAGACGACAAGCCTGAGGATTGGGCTGAGCAAACAGTTATCTTTGAAGGGCCAGTTTGAATGATTTATGAGCTGGCCTGGACTTCGAAGTCTGTAATCCCAATTCTGAAATGATTTGAAGCATGCCAAGACACTAGGAAACTGCCAATACCCTGAATTACCGAAAATCCTGCAATTAAACCACCTTAGGCACACACTGTACTTCTTCTCTGCTGTAGGGAACTTTACTATCTGCCGCTATATTCTGCTCAAATGAAGAACCTACAGTTGATATATATCTATGTAAAACTATATCTATCTATGAAACGTCCATTTTAAATCTATAACCTCTAGAAAACCAAAAATACGAAATGCTTTTAACTGAATCATTAGTGAAGCTCTATTTACATGGTCTTATAGCACACATACTACACACACCATACGATTTCGCAATAACCGATTGTCAGAATGATTAAAATTAAAGTCACATGAATTTAATTGAACCTCATAGGCTTAAAGCATCAGATGGTAATGGGCAAGCAAGCAAGGGAGAAATCAAGGGGATTTAAAATGCATTGATGGCATACTCAATGGGGACAGCAAGCTGCTTTTATTTTTATAGCCAATCGGTTCGAACACACACAATCGCCCCGAAACACATCCACTTGGCACTCGGAATACATCAGCATAATACACACTTGTACATACAGACAGGCAGGCAGACACTTGAAGCAAGAAGTACTTTACAAAAAAATAAACATATATATATATTTATAATAATGATAAAAAAGCAAAATGCGTTACGAGATATTCCATATAATGTATAAATTGCGTCAAATTGTTATTTGCTGTGTGAGTTCTCGTTCGTTCGTTGGTTGGTTCGATTATTTATTTATTCAGCTATCGTAATACTACGCATACTATATATGTGTGAGATTTACATTTTTGCCACAAAACTAAATCGATTTGCATTCCAATTTTTTGCCAAGAAACGCTCTAAATGTTTACTCGAATTTATTGTACTTCAACTAGTTCAACGAGATCTTGGAATGCCTATGAAAGCCATCAAAGGATCCAATAATTTCGAAACATCCTTGCGGTGAGAAAAACTTCGGATCTTTCGAGGTTAATATTCTTTTATTTTATTTGTAGCAAACTGTCGAGGGACTCAAACTTCAACAATAACTCCTTTTAGGTCCCAGTACCAGTACCACCCCCAACCAAAAATCCCCCTTTATATGGCACACATCTAGACGGAATACAAAATTCTAGGCATTAAAACCAAATATACACCACAATTAGAGAAATTATAAGATATAAAGTGAATTCTCATTTAACGAAAAATTAACGAAGTATCAAAGATCGTCATTAAATTAAATTTCAATATTTGAAATAAATTCGCGTTCAATTTTTCTCGTAAAAAACAAAAAACATTTAATGCAACTAAAAGCAAAAAAAAACTATTTAATTAATGCTGTTAATTAACATATAATTTAATAACGTAATACAAATGATAATAATAATTATATACATATACACCATAAATTATCTTTAAAGTAAGCTGAATAAAATTGATATATGAGTAACACGTTATAAGCTGTTAAAAAATAAATCGAAACCAAATAAAAACAAATACAAATTGTATTGTAGAAATTATTTTAATTGAAGAAAATAAAGCATTATTAATGATATATAATATACACGGGGTAACTGACTATATTACTGCATACAGTATTAGGAATATGTTGGATATCAAAGGTTTGGATTGGAGGCTACTCCTTAAATGGTCAAGTCAGCCAGCCAGAAAAAGGTTCGCACTTCCTCCTCGTTCGAGGGCCTGCAGTGAGGCGGTGGGGTGATCAAGGAGTCCCGGAGGCTCTTCATGGCCAGCATGTTGCCTTTAACGGCCTTGGTAAGATCGATAAGACGATCCGGATAATGGACCCCTATGAGGCACTCGTACTGCTCCTGCTGCTGCAGAGACATGCGCCAGGGTTCGTGGCTGTGGGAAAATCATAAGATATTTTATTAAATTTTTGAAATTAAAATTTTATAACTCACATAAGCTCCCTGGGTACATTCTTTAACTCTGGAACATATTGCCGGATGTAGGCACCTTCCGGGTCAAGTCGCTTGGCCAGGGCCACTGGGCAGGTCACCAACGAGGAGTCCAGCAGCCGCTCGAAGGCCGAACTGGAAACCCACATCCAGTTTCCGGCACAAACCGACCAGTCGGCGTCCAAGAGATATCTAAGGAAGTGTTGTACGCCGTGTTCCCAGCTCTGCCACAAGCCGCCTCGGGTCAGGAAGGTTGCCACCGTGTTGCGGAGCACATGGTGGAGCCAACCCTCGGCCAGGAGCTGTCGCATGGCGGCATCGATCAGCGGAAATCCGGTCTGGCCCAGGCGCCATTTTTGCAACTGAGTCTCGTTTGGTTTCGCCCAGGGAATGCTGAGGCAGATTTCGTTGCCTTCCATGCGGTCGTAGTTGGGATTGTTCACGGACATGGTGTAGAAGTACTCCCGCCAAATCAACTGGCCAGTGATGTGGGCTCCGCCCGTCATCTGAACGCCACGCACACAGGCTCTTAGCTGCACATTCTGGAAGAGATCGTGGACACTCCAGTAGAAGCGACGCACCGAAAGGCACCCAAACCGCAAGTGAGGGCTCATGGACTTGGGAGTTTCCTGGATATTCGGCATAGCCTGGTTGGGCAGATAGAAGCCCTTTTCGAAGGCATGCTGCTCCACCTTCAGACGCTCCTCCAGCAGCAGCAGAGCTTCCCTCTCACCGCCACGCCACCTAATCTTGGACAGAAATCCCATGTTGTCCCCGTAGACATTGAAGTGTTCCGGAGTGGGTATCTGCTCCAAGAAACCAAGACTGCGCAGAATCTCTGGTTCCAGCTGGACAAAAGTGGCATTATCCAGACGAGCGTTGCTGGTGGGCCGCGGTGGCAAGCCGATTATCTGGACAGTGTGCTGCAAGATTTAATTAATTAAATTAATTAGCTGGGATATTTTAATAAAGAGAAGAAATCATGGAAAAAATGGGTACCAGTAAACGCACTAAATTTTCAGTTCAAAACTCATCCGATTCTTGAGCGAAATACCTTCAGAAATGGGGGAAACGCGTAAAAGGTCAATATTTACGCCGAAAGCCATATCTTTGCCAATAGTCATCCGATTCTTGAGAAGAGTACCTTAAATGAATTGTAGACAGATTCTCCACCAACCTACATCAAAATCCAGGAACAAAATAATTTTTAGATTTTTTGTAAAATTTTCCCCTTTAAAATGGGGAATATGCATGGAAGGGACAATATGGCCTGAAGCAATGACTAAATCTTTGCCAAGAATATTCGATTCATGAGCGGAATACCTTAAACGATTTGTGATCAGATTTTTTATCAATCAGCATCATGGCTAAGGGCAAAATGATAACTTTTTTTTTTTTAAATTATTTCTGTACTTACTAAAAACATTTGGTATGTGAGAGGAGGAATTCCTCCGTTTGTCTCAATCACAATGCGTGGGTCCCACAGGGTGTGGGACACCTTCTCCACACACTGAATCCCCAATTCTTCGCAGAGGGATCGGATGGTCTCATCCCGGTGGTTCCAGATCGGCTCACAGTCCTGCTCGAAGCAGATTTTGTGCAAATGCACTCGCTCGTGAAGACGCCGAAAAATATGCTTCGGTTCTCCCTCGAAGACAAGGAGTCGTCCACGTCCTTCGGTTAAAGTTTGGATTTGATCATCTATGTCCTGGAGGGAGTCCAACAGGAAGCGCATTCTATTGAAGCCAACGTTTTTGGTTCCTAGGGTGGAAAGTGTTGGGTATTTACTGTTTTAGTTATTGTTAAGTTTAAAAATATTTAAAGTAGTAATACATAATTCATTATTTTTTCTCATTAAGAATTCATGTCATTTGCAACCACAAATGCAAGTTTAAGCCGTTTTGCATTTCAATTGCAACCCAACTGCTTTCCGCTCTTCGCCGCTAAACGATTCTTATCGGTCAAGTTATTGCCGCGCTATCTCCCGCTCGCTGAGAGCGCTTTTCCAACATTTGCACAAAAAGCTACTATATTTTCCAACCTCCCTACCGCTCACTCTCTCCGCGGATTCTTTTCTATATAGATACATGTATATATCTCTACTTTTTGCGAATTCTCTGGCGCATTCGTACAACCGCCAGCCGCAAATCGCATTAAAACGCATCGTTTGGTTTGCATTAGGTTTTCCGCCACCCCACCCCTCCCACTGAGTGAAAATCGCTGACTTAGCAGCGGTCGGAGAGAGAGGAAATATTTGATAACCCAAACAAGTCGCAAGTACATATTAGCTCATACGTAGAACGAGTGTGAAATTACAGTCGAGCAGTGGTTCTCTTTTAGCTTTGCATAGCATTTTAAACTTGTTTTTTTTTTTAGATATTCCACAGCTTTTAATTGATTAATTAATTACCTGCACTCTCTCCATCGAAAATAAATATAGGTAACAAGGCTATGCCCTGATCCTTTCCGGCGAGTGCTGCCAACAGGGCAGGATTATCGTGGAGTCGCAATCCGTGCCGAAACCAAATCACATTCGCCCCCCGGGTAGCCATTTTGAAAATTTTATTGAAAAGTTTTCCGGCTGATCGGCTCTACTTGTAAAGAATACCAAAACACGGAATTTATTTTCCACACACGCGACGCGCTCGCGCCGGTTGCTAATTGACGAATGCGAATATAAATGCGAAATTTGAGCTAGAAAAGCGTTTTTCTACGACTGCAGCTAAACGCTCGAACAATACGCCAAGGGGGTGACTGGAGAGCGAGGTATGAAAAGCAAGCTTGTGGGAAATGCACTGGAAAAATTAATACCAATGCATAAATTATATAAAATATATTAAATTAATATTATCTATTTTATTATACAATACTTTAAAATATTTACAATATTTCTTTTATTTTTTTTAAACTTAATTCCGCCATTTTTTTGGCAAGTGCTTAAACGGTAAAGGGGGGAACCGGTAACTCGACTCTGTCCGTTCGAGTGCGTCAACACAAAAGCTACGAGTGTATTTGTGAGCCACGACAAAGTTTTGTGAGTGTGTGCGGGTGCTTGGGTTCGCATAAGTGTGGCACTGGGCTGCATTCTGAGCACACAACTGCACTCAGTTCTACTCAGGCTGCCCCCCCTAGTCCCAGCCCACCCCCTGAGCTTCAGGCAAGCTTCAGGCTAGTTCTCTTTCGCACACATGGGGTTAGATAGCGTTTCGGGGCGCACATAGAACACAACTGTTGCTTTTTAGAGCCGGGTGAGCTTTTTAAGGGAGACACCTTTACAGGGGCATGGAGTCTGATCGATTCTACATTATATTACATTTCACTCCACAGGTATTTTTAAGAATTTAATATTTTAATTGACAACAATTTTAATAAAAATTCTTAAATCAAAACCCTACATTTCGAACATACTACGCTCATGTATCGAAAAAAGTTTCCAGTGGCTTGTTGTCCAGGTAACCAGGCACAACAACAACTTCAAATGCACCTGTAACAAAAACAACAACAATAAACCATGAAACTAACAAAAAAGTCAACTGCAAAGCCCGGTATTTCACGTGTCCTGGCAAAAACAACAAGTACAACATCCAGTAAATGCAACAATCTGGCCAGGAATTCAAATGACGACGATGATGAGCGCAATGTGGTAGTAGTTTCTGAACTGGAAGACCAGGAATGTAGGATGCAGGGAAAGGGAAAAAGTAAGGAAGGGTAGAGAGTGAACAAAGGACTGGGTAAGGACCAGGATAAAGGATCCTTTACAAAAGAATTTAGTTTGCCTTGTTAGCTTTTATAAAACTCATTTATTTTTATCGATTGGGAAAGCTTAAAAGACCTCAAATGAGGTAACTTTTAAGATGAAACAACAAATATTATTACACTTTCAGGTAGCTTCATGTTTGGCTTCACTATTATAACAACTTTTGTGACGAAATAAATGCATAAAACTTTGAAAATAAAACTTTACAGCACGGCAAGTAATTATATAAGGTAGTATCCATGGCTTCCCATTCATTTATGACCTAAAAGAACTGCCAGAAATGTACAAAGTTAAAGGCCCAAAGGATAACACAACTTTTGTCAATTGCAAGGATGTAGTTTAACATTATGAATTCAGCAGATGGGACTCACTCGTTCAATAAGATTTCGCCAACAATTGTAAAGACTTTATTGGGAGTTTTCTTTTTCGGACGGAAAGTTGCTCAGACATTGTTGGGAAAACCATGTAACATGATTTATCTTCCTCCCAGAAAGTTGACATCTCAGGTGCAGTGGATGCACTGTGGATTTCCCGTCCAAATGCCGAGCGCAGGCTGCTTGTTTCATTCTTTCGCTCAACACGTCACCAAGGACTTGAGGCGCATCCTTTGTGCAATCAGCAGCAGGAGCAGAAGCCCCTCCTCACCTGTCCCACCGGGCCCGTCTGTTTGTGTAGATTCCTCCACTACATTACATGATTGCCAGGCTGCCAGGATGTCAGGGTGCCGGGCTGTAGATTACAGCTTGTTAGTGAAGATTGCTAAAGGAACGCTCGCCGGTCCTAACAATATACTATTCCTTTGGACTTGGGTATTTTTAGATAAGTTATGTGTATGTGAACAGCAGCAGGAGCATTCAGACAACATGTAACAATTTATGTTCAACGAAGAAGGGGCATTCCTTTCATATCCAGACAATCGAATCTGCAAAGCAATCCATCACACTTTTGTGTTTCATTTATAAAATTGAATTTCTTGTTGAGTGATTTCAACTGCCTGACAATGTCATATTGAGAGGCTTTTGAAGGCTCTTCGGGGTGAACATGCTTGTACGTTTAAACGAATAATCATTTCATTAAGCCTGACAGAAATCTGACAAATGCCAAAATCCTTTCATATTTGCACACGCAGGACATTGAACAGAGGGCTTCCTCTTTAGTAATCAATCCAAACTGTTGTTATTGGGAAAAGTTAATCCTGACAAACAGTTTCAAGTATTTAGTTTACTCTATTGTACTAACAACACTGAGGAATCTACTAAATTAAAGGAAATGTTTAAGTAGTTCTTTGTTTTCTGCTTACAGACTTAAATAGTCTTAAAAAAGGTTTGATGCTATTACTATATATGTATGTATATAATATCAGATTTTTTTCTCTTTATATTTCATTTGTTAGATCTTGGCTTTACTGACTTTGCTAATACACGTTAAACAATCAAATATGTCAATCATACGCACCATTGGATCCTTTGTGGCAGTAATAGTACAGAACACACACACCCTCATCGCGTCCCATTGAAAGAAAGTCCTTGTGAAAAGGCAATAATATTAAATGCAATTTTATGTGCTTTTGTATGGCACTAGACTTCACTACTCTACAGGGACAATTAGACTAAGGATTCACAACATTTATTACGAAAAAGGGTCTTATTATAAGGAACTAAAAGTTAGAAAAAGTTGTGATTTATTTTTCCAGTTCCTTGGAATCTAAAGAGCTGTAAAGGTCAGATGCTAGACTGTAGCCCTTACTTTTTATATGGAATTTTTGTAATTTGTTCCTTTTTTTGTACTATTGTTTATTTTTAGTTGAAGCGACGATGGCACGCACACTCCTAGACATGTAAGTGACGGGTTGCGTGTCTGCAGGGGCGTGTGTGGGTGAGCCTGGCTGCCAACAACAGGCGCCGCCTGTCGGGCAAACAAGGAGTGATAAGTCGCCTGTTTGTGGAGGTGGGGCGTGGTGTGAGGGGTCTGGAGCGGATAGGTCTGAAGCGATAGCAGATTGAAGGGCCTCGTCCTTATTTGTTTGTTTACCTGCGGGTATCATGGACAGACGAAGCATTCAGGCGAGGAAAACTACCCGTCGACTCTGCCCTAACCACCTCCCCGCCACTTCGTCCTGCCAACTGTGGCACAGTAAACCCTGGTAACTGACGTCAACTGTACACACAGAGTCGTATTAATTCCTTACGTCGTTTTCAAATTGTAAATATTGTTTCACGTCTGATTGATTGCGACCGGCTGGCCCCGACTCTGGCCACGCCTCCTCGGACTCCCTACCCCTGGAAGTCCTGGGTGTCCCAAGCCTTTGGCATATATGCCGACAAATTAACTCGCATAAATATTTATGTAAAGCAGAAGGGACCTTTGAAGTCAAACCGGCTGGCGAATCGGCTGTGAAAATCCTGGGGCCCAGCACAAGGACCTTACCCAACCAGATCTGGTTTGTTCAGGACTATGGCAAGGACACTGAGAAAAATGAGTCTTAAATAATAGTAAAGCTATAAATGAAGTCCAGGCCATGGGCTAAAGAGTACTGTACATAAGTTTTAATAAAGAATATTAATCCTTTTTAAGTAAAGATTTATTTTTTTCAGTTTATTGGTGTTACGCTTTATTGAACCGCCGAGCGGGTACTGCAGCTTGTAGGGTTAATTAAATGGGGACTGCCAATGACGTGGGCAGGCGAACAAGCCAGTTCTTTGAACAACCTGACGCCAGGACCCCCCACAGGACTTTCCCGATCCACCGGCCATCCAATATGCCGCCGTAAACAAGTTTAACAACTCTCCCAATCATGAAGGCTTAGCCACATTTATGGCCGTCATAACGTTCACCTCGTTCCGGCCAGGAATTAAGCCGCATTATCGCGTCTGTTGTCCCGACCAGGAGTCATTTGTCCGGCTGGCTTAGAAGGTGACCCCTTTGGTTGGAAATAACTGGCGGGAAATTGGGTAATATCCTTGATAAATCCTCATCTGTAAATCCTCAGCTAGCAATTAATTTGCTTCCAACGGTTTGGTCGCATTGGAGATAAAGTTTTCGGATAGAGATTCTCCTTCGGGAAGGCATTTAATAAATGTTCCTTTCGCCGCAGAACAGAACTGAAAAAACAACACCAGCTTGGAGTAAACAAATATTAATCACTCTTAATGAATTTGATGTCAAGCATGAATATTATTATCCAAGTTTCCGCTGCGAAAGCTGACAGATAGCGAGCGGCAGGCGCTCTGATTAAAAATGCCGCCAGTCGTCGAGACAGGGATAAGGATACGACTGCAGATCCTGGCGCAAAACGCCAAGTTGGAAAAAGTGACTCCCTGGGCATTCATAAAAGTAAATTATGTAAACGAAACTTTGCTGCTCCGCCTTTTTATGCTGCGATGCTCCTTCAAACAAAGTTCCACTTTCATCAAGCTTCATTTAAGTCTTCCAGCCTCTCCTAGAATTTCCATCCAATTCAAAAAGTTCAAATAATTGTTTTGAACTGAACTTAACTGAACTGAACTAATTTTCATTCGCTCAGCAAATTAAACTTTTCATTTTTCCATTTTCCATGCCATTCTTTTCTCGGCTCGGACATGGAGTCCAGCAGTTAGGTCCTGCGCCAGGTCCAGCCAGGTTACAACAGACAATGGGATGGAAATCAACAACAGAAATTCGGATTTGCTTCTAGCTTACAATTTAATTAAAAGAACAATATATAGGCATAATGCTTCAAAAAAGGATATTGGTAATATTTTCTCTTAAAGTTTTGTTTTTAAAGCTATAGCTCTTTTATTAAAAGTGAATAATAGTCATAAAAAAAGGGAAAATATAACTCTACCAGAAGTAGGAAAAGGACCCATGGTGCAACGTCCTGCCTTCGCTTCGAAGGACTCTCGCATCTGGCCGACTTAAAGACAACTTAATCTTTGCGCTCAGATCGGGATTGAAAAATGGCTTGATACGGCGTTAAAAAGATTTAGTCGCATTAAATGCTGTCGTTTATCTGGCACTTGACTCACACCCATACACTCTCGAATGTCCTTAAAGCGGGGCAGTGAAGCATGTGTGTTTGTGTGTCGGTGCTGGAGGCTTGTGTTTGCCTAATACGCTCCAACTTCTTTGCCCGAAAGCCAAAACACAGGCGCATACACATGGCCCATAAATAGGGGCAGGGACAAGGGATCGGCATGTCAAAGGCACGTGCAATGCAATATAAACAATTCGCCACACAAGGGCACAAGGAAAAAAGTACTTTTGAAAGTTATAACTTAAATAATAATATTTCACAAACTTGTTATTAAAAAGGATTATTATTTGCTAAACAAGTCTATAAAGTTCCCTAATTTCTCCAAATTGTATTTAAGATCCTTTGTATTTTTCTCAGTGCACTTGCACACTCATTCACAGTAGCGCTCTGTTGAACTAACCGGCGGCTTTTCATTTTTTGCCGCAACACACTCACACACCCGCACCCACATTGAGTCCTTTTGCCAGGTTCGGCTCCTAGTACTCACCGCTGCCATGTTGGCAATATTTCCCACTTTTTTTGGCTCTATTTTTTTTCCTTTTTCTCTACCCTGCCCTGCCCCATGCCGAAAGCCGCCTCAGGGGGCGCCACAATGCGAGTAATACACACACGCGAACACACACTGCGTATACGTAATGTCAAAACTATCGATGGCGAATTTACACCACGTTGTGAACACATTTTTTTGCCGCAGCCCCTGTCGTTGTTCGAGTTGCCCGATGGCGTTGGTGTTGCATCCATACAGGGCTTATTTGTGGATCGTCGCAATGAAAGCACCCTGGAAAGAGGTATGTTTAGAGTACTTACTAAGAATTAAGACTTTATAGAACATAAAACACTCTTTTTGTTTAAGTTTTTGTTTCTAAATTTAATTTTTAATTATGATCTTTACACATACTACCATTAATATACGTATTTAAAAATGTATTAAAGTTCTTACCTTATATTTAAGCCCTTTAACATGGAAATGGCCTTTTTTTGTCCTCTACAGGGTACCTTTCAGGCCATCCTTCATAATGTCTTCATTCCAGCTATTACGCTGCGGGGGCGACCTCTGTGCGCTTCTATTCGCATATTTCACTATATTTTCATTTTAGCGCCTTCACACAGACACACATAAGCACTCACATCGATGCACAAGCACGCATTCATACACACACACACACATACACTGCCACCCAAACAATGGTCGCACTTCCTGTTTTCGCCTGTCGGTGTTGCAGGAGTGGCAGGAGTGAAAAAAAAGTGGGAAAAAGAGCGTAAAGCGAGGGGGAATTGGGGGTGATGAGGGGGCAGGCGACACTGGGGTCAAGGGAGAAATTTGCATAAATTTTCCGTACATTTCGCACAGAAGGCAAATTGCATTTTCAGCATAACACGTACTCCATTCTACTTACACCAGCAACATCAGCAGACACACGCACGCAGTAGTTTCTCTTCCTTCGCAGTCCTGACGCCCCCTACCTGCCCTTCCCGACCTTCCTGCCCCCCTTACTTCCCTCATTTAATCCCCGCTCATCGCCACTCGTTGAGCGAAAAGGTAGGCCGTGTTTTCCCCGACGCCTTCATCCTCGTTTCCTGCCAGCGTCAGGAGCTTCATCCTTATCCTGGCGCTCCATTCGTCCGTGTTAGTTTAAGGCATGCAAATGTTACGAAAATTGCTTTTTACTTCCCATCATGTAGGTGAATGAGTTTTCCTCCTTATACACGGCGGCAGGACACCGCCAGGACACCCGAACACCCGCACACACAAGTAAGTTAAGCGTTTGCCTTGATGTTGTTACTGCTAAATTACCTTTTGTTATAATTTTTGGTCCTGCCCAGGTTGTACCTAGAACAATGGTCCTCAAAGTTTCTGTCATAAAAATGAAATTAATTTTTAAATTGTTTTCTGAGGATGCAATACGATATCCATAGAAAATATTTATGAATATTCAAAGTGCTGTCAATGTCATAAATGGCTATCATTCGATAACTTTTATTTAATTGTTTCATTTTAATAAAAACTTAATAGATTGGGGTTATATCTACCAATCATTTCAGTGCCTTTTAGTAAATGTTTTACAGAAAAACCAATTCCTGAAAACCGCATTTGAACCCCACTCCTGAGGTTGTCTTTGTAGCTTCCAGCCCCACAGTGTCCTGTCCTGTTAAATGATGTGTTGTGCAGCAATTTAGGCAAAAACTCTCTAGTGCCTTCCATTCCGGAGTCCTTACTCGTTTATTTGCACTTTAGCATTTAAATCTGATTTATGTAGCAAATTGAAGAAAAAACATTTAATTGCTTTGAACCCCACTCACCTATCCCTCTCATTCATGCTGGTTTTTATGGCTCTACTATGCTTCCTATGCAAAAATGTTAAATGCAATGTCAAAACAATACGGAAATACAAAAGTAAAAAAATAAAAAAAACAACTATAGTATACCCCCGGAACCCGAGAGGGACTGAGAACTCAAATAATATTCTGCATACAAAATAACTTGGTTTCTCTAATGGCTGAATTTTAAAATGCATGAGCTACGCTCTGATCACCCCTTCTGCTGTGTAACCCGTATCCTTTCGGGTCCTGCTACCATGTTTGTGTTTTGTGCTGTGCTTTGTGAACTGTTGAAGTTTATTTTACCAGATTTTAATATGTATGAGTTGAAGATGAAGCATTTATGGCAACACAACACAGTGCCAGATAGAATATTCGGTATGTGTTTGGCATATTTATGCAGGCGCTTTCGAAGGCGTCTCAGGGGGGCGTTACCGAGGACGTCGAGGGGCGTGGCGTGGCATGTATAGGACCTCTCACTTCCCTAATAGCAATTTCCTAGCCTACAAGTATTTTTCGGCATTCTCAGCAATTTTCCCACTGGCAAGTGACTGACTAATGTAAGTTACGTGTATCCTATATGTAACCTATCTCTAGGACTCCAGTCTACCCAATCCGTTTCATTCCACTTCACTTCCTGTTCAAGTTTCCTCATCCTTATCGCCCCTTCCCCTTCTCCATCCTAGATCCTTTCGCTATGCTCCAATAATGCAAAACATTTGTACAAGACAAGGCTGCTCCATTTTCTTGCCAGGATTCGTGTCGGTGGTCGGAGGCACCGGCATGGCCCTGGTTTTTGTATCATATGGGGACTGTGGCATGCGGCATCTTTCTTGCGGCTCGTTAAGTTAGCCCAATGCCATTTGTTTCATGCTGCTAACTCAATTTATGAGTGCCACTCATGAATCAAGAGGATTTTCAGCCGTTCTTCTGGGGGTTTTTAAGCAAGAGCCATATGCCTGCCAGAAGCAGGTCATTAAGATAAAAGAGCATTTTTAATATACTTTTTTTGAAAGTCATAAATGATCCTGACACATCATGGCTGAAACACATTGGGCCTTAAATTTAAAACTTTAAGAAAGTAAATATTAAACAGAAAATCAAATCTAGAATATCCACCGATCATTTATAATAGAAATTGGCAGCACAACCCTCTTATATCAACCCACACACATCCATTTATTGCCTGCCTTTCAACACCCAACATCCCAATTCAATCTTATCTCCATCAGCCTGTCCCTAGCTCATCTCATATGCATCGTCCTGTTTGCATGTCCTGCGCCTGTACCTTATTAACCGAATTGATGTGTTTGCTTATTTACTTAATGTCGCAGAGCGTACGTTTCTGTTTTTGGCCCGGATCCAGTTGCTTTCCTTTCAGGGGGCTAACTTAGATGTGTGTCCTTGGCTTCCCCCATGTTATTTGGAACGTTTTACGTGCTCATTATCTGCGCTTCCGAACAATTAGATTCAATTACCCACCGCCCTTCTTTCTATTGTCGGTGGCTGTGGCCCTGGGAGCTGAGAATCCTCCTTTCGCCTCACATTTCGGTGGCGTGTCTGGCTTCCATAAGATGCGACTTGGACGTGGGATTATTATTCCCATAGCGTAATGTTATCCAGACTAAACTCTTTGCTAGAGCACACATGACACGTAGCAAAATACATCCTGCTAGAGCTCCATACACACAACAGAACTAATCCATCACAATTTTTCGTGCATTTTAAATGATTTTCCTAGTCGGCCCTTGGAAGGTAAGCGAGGATTAGAGAGGTATTAACACCCATCAGAAAGTCAGTTGCTTGTAAAATACCCTCCCAAGGATATTCATCAGGCTTTGGTCGAGCAGGAGGGTCTGCTGTGAAGTCCTTGGAAATTTTTGCAAGCGACACTTATTTATCATTCGTCCTTTGCCGTATTTATCATCGGGGCACAGCGGCAGCAACAAACAAACAAATTGAACAAGGACTTATCCTTAATGTGGAGTGATTTGTCAGCTCAAACGGAAGAGGTCCCTAAGAGGATTTCGAAGGCGGCTGGAATTTAATTTCATACTTTGCTAAGAGGGCCAATCATTTGTAATCAGAGTTTAACGAATCGGCAGGCGTACTGCACTGATTACCCAAATTAATGTCAGTTACCTGTCTGTCTACGTTCAAGATCCCAAAAAGTGACAAACAGAATAGATTATTTCGAGTTCCATAAAATTACGTATATTTATTCGGAGTATTTGTGTCAAATTTTTTGTTTGCTTTGCATTCTTAAGAGTTAATTATTGAAAAATCACACTGGGAATGATTTTCTGTTCTCACGACTTACATCTCAGCCTAGATGTTACAAAATTTTTATTAAAAACCATAATAAAAGGCTACTGAATGAACTATACATAAGGTGCAACAACTTACAAATTAATATCACTATAAATGCTTAAAAGGGGTGGAGAAAAAAAGGTGGCAAGTGCTGGGATTTAAATTAAAATTCCGTATGGAAACTGTTGGCCGTGTCGATCATTTTGGATTGCAGAAAGATCTCAGCATTGTCTGTCATCTGTGGATGGAAATTTAAAGGATAGTAATCATGGATATATAATTTATAAAGATGTATAAACCAACCTCCTTGAGAGTTAGCAGTTCGTCCTTGTTCTCATCGCAAAGACTGAATAATGTGGCCGCCTCCTGGAGAGCGTAGCGCGGCGTCTTAGGATTCACGTAGTTCAGGAGCTCCCCTCGATCGGCCTTGCCGTCGTGGTTCTTGTCGATGATCCGCTTGAACTCCTCCCGCCTCTCCACCAACGTCTTGGAAATCAGGGATTTGCGCAGCAAATCGTCATCGTCATCCACATTTAAATCCGAGAACTCCTCCAGCGTAAGCTGATCATCCCCATCCTGGTCGAACTGCCGCAACAGGTCGTCCACCAGCTCCAGCAGGTTGGAGACACTGGACTCTGGATGACGGAAACTCAAGTATTCGTCAATGGTCAGAGTAAAGAGATCGGTTCTTGCCGCCTCCGACCACCGAGCCTTGTCCCGCATCATGTCCTCCCGGGCTCGCCTGTTGAGGGTCGTGTGCTTGATCTCGTCGTGCTCGTCGATGTCCGCCTCCGTCATGCCGTGATCCCGCAGGAAGAAATGATGGTACTCGTCCCATGTAATTAGACCATCGGCGGGGCCAATATCCACTCGCCGGAATTCCCGGGCATTATTCATGATTGCCTCGTCGATGTGCTCCACGATCCTGCGATTTATATACTGGCCCAGCTCTTGGATGGACAGAATACCATCATGATTCCGATCAGCTCTAGGGGATAAGTAAAGAAAATCAATAAGATTATAGATTCCTTTTGAATTTTTTTTAAATATCACTGCGAATTAAACAAAGCAACTGCTGAATAATTTAAAATTTAACCGAGTTAGGGTGGCATAATCAAATGTACATTATACATTAACATCCGAGGACTGTCTCCCCTGGCACTTGCCACAAAATCCCTGTTGCATACTTGTCTCCTTCTGGCCTCAAAGCCTGGTCTTTGCCGCAAACCATCCTGCTGTTTCAGTTCCAACTACCTCACCGCAGCGAAGCTGTGCCACCAAATGCTGCATATGACAGCTGTCTAATGATTTCTCAAGCCCACAGGCGTATAATGCACTGAGAATAATTGGGAAATAAAATAATTATAATCTAATAATTAGAACATATTTATAAGAACTACAAATCATGTTAAGAAATCCAACTATTTTAGCTGTAATTTTTGTCAAAAGCCATACATTTCTCCTTTTTTTTCCCAGTGTATTACCTGCCCCTTGGCAATGAAGTGCGAATGCCCAAAACAGGTGTCAGATATTAAAGCTGCTTATTGGGGCTCGGGTGGGGGAAAAAGGAGAAGCTGCGAAGGCGGGCCTGGTGGGAGGACCTGCTGCCTTGTGGAAGCCAGCAAACCACTGGAATAATCAGGGAATAGCATAGGAGCGAGTCCAATTGTTTGTACTTGCGAGTGTGTGTGTGTGTGGGGCGACAGGGCGGAAACGGAAGTGCCCGACAGCCAGAGCGGAAGTGTGGGAAGCAGCAACCGCACAGTGGTTTCATTAGCATATAGTTGATAAATAAATAAAGTTGAAACTAAAACGGTTTCAAGTTGCCTCTTCCTTTGGCAGTAAACTTCTCGCTCCTAATTCTTCAGTGGGTCACGTTCTGGCCCGGCTCTTCAGTTTTGGCCCAAAATGTATATGCGAAACGTTTGCGGTCGTTTGCGAGTCTTTTTTCGAGTGGGATCAAAGGAAGAGCTGAGAGCGGGAGGACATCAAGGGGCCTGGCCGTGCCGGGAACGAGGAGTCGGGTAAATCCTCGAATATAAAAACAAAGTTTTTGCGCTTTGCGTTTCTTCCTTTGGCATCTTGTACGTGCAAGAAAGTGAGAAGCTGAATACCGCAAAAAAAAAACCAAAAAAAAAATGTATATAGGAATAGGAGAAACTTTTTCATTTGTACATTCCTGCCGTTGCTGCCATTCAGGATCTCTTGAAAACGTACTCCGAAAAGGGGAAGCACACGGTTCGGGTCCCAAAAGGACGACGGATTTGTTACAAAGCGCAAAGTGCATTTTGCATAAGCCTGCGGTTCCACTAAAGTTGGCCAATTGCTTCTACCCCAGTCGAGATTCCTGGCCAAAAGGGGGCCAGGGTGGTTTTCTGAGAATTTGGTCGACAGGATGCATTGCATAGAAGGATTGTGAGTGGTGCATAAAACTATTATTTGATTGCATATACATACACGAGTCTGAAATGAACTTGTGTTCTGTATTTATCTGGGCAAGTTTTTCTTTGCTTCCATCTCACTTTTGCACTTGGCTTAAAGCCTTATAGCCAAAGTCAACGCTCAACGACTGAAAATTTAATGGGATTACTTGAAACTTGATTTGGAGTGTTTAGTTTAGGCCTTTTGGCTTGGCTGGCAAGTTTTAATTCTTTGGTAGGTTTGCAAAATGTACTCTTAAAGAAAAATAAATAAACTTTTTTAAAATGTGGCATTTTTCCTTGCCATTTATGTAGGCATAAGCTTCTACTCAGAGAGTACCGGGTATAAATATTGAAGCCTCAACAGCCATATCTTAAAATAGGGCGAAAGGAAACTTTTTCGCGTTGCGTGCAAACTTTTCGCAAAAGTTTATTGCACACTCCTGCCGGGGCAGGACATCGTTGGGAAAAGGAAGAGTGCAATTTGAGTTCTACACCGAATCAATGGGCGGGAGTGTCGAGGCGGCGGGATCGCCCTGACTGGCCTAATTGGATGCAAAAGTCAGCTAGGACATGGAACACGGGACACAGGACATTAGCGCGCCTGACTGGTCGGGTCGGTCATGCATGGGGAATGAGATTGGAACTGCAAAACTGTGGAACCCCAACTGGCAACCGTCGATGGCCCGTGGCTGCGGCATGTGGCATGCGGCATGGAGGAGTGGCCCGGGGCAGGGAAACGGTCCTCAATTAAAATTTATAACAATGTCCTTTCAACGTCTCGTCGGAGCGACAGTTGCAGATACAATTTAATTGCTCCTAAAAACGGCCAGAGTCGAAATCCCCGCCCATCCCCCGTGGTAACCGCATTATTAAAACGGAATTTACACGCCGAAGGAAAAGGGGTGGGAGAGGATAGTGGATATGTCAGGGGGTCGGGTGTATCCACAAAATAATGACTATTAATTTCACGCAGAAATGCAATTATCACAACATTTTCTGGTCACTTTAATTGCAGTTTAATGCGAAGGCGACAAGTGGAAATCCCCACATAACTCACATAACCCCCAAGGGGCATTAAAGATCCACCTATGAAATACAATCCTTTAATAAATGATTGAGTGCGCCTGGTTTGCTATTTAATAAATACTTTGCATCCTTTGGCGCTCTGGCCTTAATAAATTCCAAACAAATGCTAGATAAACATTTAAAATTTCAACAGGATGGAAAATATAATCGAATTCGGCTTCGATTCCCTCGGGTGTCGATGGTTTTAAATGTTAACCTTCATCAAATATTAACAAAGCTTCTGCAAATATGAATGTGCTTGCAAATCCAATCAAATGAAAACAGTTTCGCGCAATATTTTAGTGGTTCTTCATATTATTTTAAATAAATATTTGTTAATATTTAAAACAAAAATAATGATAATGTTCTAGTCTTTTAGGGACTATTACTACTTATAAAAATAGTATATGTATAATCGAAAAACTTTGACTATAATGTCCCATAATAATAACCCCTAGTAAAAAAATATCCATTATTGAATAAAACCCGGAAACTTTACGCCAAATGCTTTCACGCCCAGATTACCCGACATAGTGGTATACCCTGAAGAGGGATCCGGTACCGTGTGCTGCCTGTTTCACGGAATTTGGCCAACTTTGGTGTCGGGCAAACGAACTGGTGTTTGCTTAAAGCCCTTCTGTGTTTATATTTACCGGGGAACTACATACAGCCGGCGACCTGGTGATGGACAGCTTTCCGGGGGGATGGCTCCGGGATTTTAGCTGGTTATCATAGGTGCCGAAGGACGTTTAAGGAGGCAGCTTAAAGTGGGCCGTTGGGTGAACGGATGCGATGCAGGCAGCGTCCATGGCCTTGAGCTTTCGGTAAAGAGAAAGTTCAGCCAGGCAGAAGCAGAAGCATAACCTCCAGCCATGAGCACTATCAAGAGGTTAACCTAAGGACTGCAATGAATGCCGACAACGTGGGGGATGCAAGCCAGGAGGTTAAATATTATCTTAAGGTATATTTTCTTTAAAAAGCGCATTTAAATTCCTGGCAGTTTCTTGCAATAATGCTTTGATTTTAATTAGTTTCTCACAGGACATCACTAGCTTACAAAGATAACTTGGAAATGTCTCCTTAATATTGCATATTTGCTACGTTCAAAGGTTAAATACAAACTGCCTTAGGTCTTATGTCCTGGTAACTGGTAATTTATTCGGAAATCAGAGAGATTTCAAACCGTCAAGGGAATGTCTTTCTGCTCTATTATTTATTGAATCGAAATGAGTTTTGCCAAAGAAGTTTAAAGTTTACCAGCCACAACTTTGACTGCCTAATGCCCCCAAAAAAAGAGGCCAAAAGTTTTGGGTCAAGCGGAGAAGGAATTCAAATAAATATGAAATTGCAGTGACAGTTTGATTTCTCTCTCGGTTTTTGCACCCAAAAATATATATAAACTTTCTTGCAAATTCGTTTCAACACCTCGAGTTTTATTTTCGTGTTGTAGTATTTTGTTTTTGGCCCATGTCTGGCAATCTGACTGCTTGATTACCCCCAAAAAAATAAACCCCAGAGCATCAAGTTGCTATTTCAGACAGGACCCATGACTGGAAACTTTACAGTTTACGACCGAACACCTCTGGCCTTCTCCGGGCAACCCGAAAGAATCCATTACAGGCCAAGTAATTGGCCAATTGCCTAATCACTTGTGCAGGAGCTGGGAACGTTTTATTTAGTTAAAGTAATTAGGGGAATTGTGCAAGTCAGTTGGATAGAAATCAGCAGGGCTTCCTGCCCGGCAATTACGTGATTGAAGCAGTAAGACCTGTAACCAGTAATTTTAAGTTTCTGATCCCAACTAGTCCTTTTAAATCTGATTTCCAGGATAATTTAATTTTCTTGTTCCTCTCGAATTGAATTTTTCTTGTTTCTCGAACAACAAGATTGTCCAATCAAGGTTTATTATCTTCGGTTTGTAATTCGATTACCGCATTGCTCGAATCGAAACAAATCAAAGCCTGGCAGACAACAAATCTCGCCCCGTGTCCTTATTGATTCGAAGCCCTGCCCAGGACATCCATCAAATCCAGCTGCCACCGTTGCTATTGCCACTAATTTTTACAATTTGTCGTACCCGGAGAGTTATGGCGGAGGGCGGCGGCGTCTTTTGTTTGCCAGGACGACTGCTATAGGGTTGGGAGGGGCAGAAGGGCTATTTGGGGCAATGAAAGCCGCAGGCAACATCGTTATGCGCCACAATAAAGAAGCCACCGAACTAGCGCCAAATTATCAACCGAACCAACCAGAGGGCCCAGGGCCATAACTCAGGAAAACTTACCGTTTGAAAGCTTTTGCCAGTATTTGCTTCTCATTCACATTGCTGGCCGCTAAAATAACCGTTTCTGGTTGGGGCTGGTGTGGATGTGGGGGATTTCGTGGGGATTTGCTGGCATTGTCGGAGGCACCGATCCCCTCCAGCACTTTTCGCCGGTCATGTCCATTCCGACCGAAATCCAAACTGTTTGCCCCAGGCGGCGACTTCAGCCTTTGCTCCATTTCTCGTGTATTTTGGCTTTGGATTAGGCCATTATGCCCCATGTTGCTTGCCACTTTGGTTTCTGACAGCGAACTGGGCGGCTCACTACTGCTACTGCTGCTGCTGCTGCTACTGCTGCTGCTGGTGCTGCTGTGCTCCTTTAGCTGCTGCTGCAACTTGGTGCTGGTGCTGTGCAGGATCAGGCCAATGAAGAACATATAAAACAAAATTGCGCACAATGTCGAGCAGCGTAGCCAGCGGAAGCTTTTGCTCAGCTTGTTAACGAAAGTCATTTTGTAGCAGCCACCGACCTCCTCGTCTGCTTCCTCGTCCTCGTCCTGGTCCTCGTCCTCGTTCCTGTCGTTGTGGCAGGACAATGGATGGCAGTGGCAATGATGGCGATGGTGATGGTGATGGTGGCGTGGTGGTAGTGGGGGTGGTGGCGATGATGGGACCAGTTCTAGGTTCTGGTACACCGACTCCTCCTCCTCGGTCCACTCGGTTTCCGGCTCCGGCGGCTCCAACTTGGACTCGTTGCGTGTAATTTGCAGTTATTGCCCCGCTCTCTCCTTTCGCTCTCCCCGTTCTCAGTCTCTCGGGCAGGTCCTGTTGCCAATGTTGTTGTAATTGTACATTAATTGACTTTTATGTTGCAACCAGAGACAGGAATATGGCGGTGCCTGGTCCGGTTCCAATTTGTGTTACTACCAAGGCCACGCCCACTCTACCAGGGGGCGTCAAAGTAACAGCTTCTAATACAAATTTGATGCGTTATTGCCATTTCGCGCAGTTGCCATTTCCTTTATGCGGCAGCATCATCATCTCCCCAGCACTTTACACCAATTTTACATGATTGTTGGGCGCCATTTCCATTATGTTTTCGCTGATAATGATGGAGATGCTGGTGGTGGTGGCCTGATGACTCTGTGGGGCGGAAGAGAAGAAAGGGAAATGGATTTTGCATCAGTAGAGTGGAGGAAATCGTTTTCATTGCGAATTTAGTTTAGGGTTCAGTGGATTGAAAAAGGAGAGAACGGATGAAGCTCGAGAATATCGAGCAAGAACTTTGACAGTCGGATGTCCATAAATCTTAAAGAGTTTAGTTTTTATAGAGTTGGAACTTTAACCTAAGCCCTAAACCTATTACAAATAAAACACGCATTAAATCCCACTAATTAGACGTCAATAAAATATATTTCCCTCTTGGAGCACCCCATTGAGTCACAACCACAAAGTTATTAATTAGCCATTGCAGAATCTTTTTAGCCCCTTCAATGGCCTCTCAAGGGGAAAATCAAAGAGGGGCTGGGGTTGCAGCCATTAAGCAGCCAACGAGCGAATTAGAAATTCCCATAAATTTCACTTCTTTCTCGTTATTGAAGTAGGAGGAGCACGGGCCGGGCGGCTGAGAGGCCGCAGGCCATGGATTCATCCATAAAACGAGGCCAACCTAATGACTTACATAATAGAAAGTACTAAAACAGGAGTCGTAAATGAGATCAGATGAGATGAGAGTTCAGATGAGATGGTTTGTGGTCTCCCTTTGATGGGTAGTTAATTTTAAAAACCCACACATAAAACGTTCCAGGCCATTCGCCATAAACAGATTTCAAAAGATCAGGATCCATATCATAATTATTAAGTTCTCACTGACTGAGTAAAAGACACTGATGCCAGGATGTAAATATTTTGAAAATGCCATTGAATTGACACAAAAGTCATTGCTTTTCATATATTAATATGGATTGAAAAACTCGTTATTGGTCATTCATGTGAATTCGATGAAAATTTCCATTAACTCGGTTTTCGGCTGCGGACTGCATAAATTGATATTTACCTGACCTGCCCGGCCCACGTTAAGGATAAACTGCAATTCATTACAAACGGTATTGGTTGTCAACATTTGCCCAACGATTTCCCGCCGTAAGGCCATTCAATCAGATATTCTCCGCCTGCAATTCCATTCAACGACTGCTCTTTTGTAAATACACGTATGTATAGTATGTATGGAAAACAGTAGTACCACTCTTTTCTGCGAGTCCTCCTTTATTCGAATTGACTCACTGACTCAATTTGTGCTTATGAATATGTTGCACATGTGCACCCATACCACCCATACCATGTTCATGTGCAAATTTTATGATCCCATTCGGTTGTCGGTGCTCGGATGTTGGTCCGTTGCCACTCTTTTTAATGCTTTTGTCTCGCGCCGTTTACTTTTGCCTTCGTTTTGCTGGCTGCGCTTGTCTTTTCTTTATTTAACTTGTTTTTGTATTTTATTGGCTAACAGAAAACCAGTTGAACATCTATTTAAGCCAAAAGTGCACTCAGGAAAAAATTATAATAGCTCATGAATGATTCAGTTATTTGAAATAAAACAGAATGAATTAAAAAGAATATTGCATACATTTTGGGGCTTAAAGGGATTAAGAAAATCCTAACGGTTTTTTTAGGTTGGCTTTGAAATAACCATTAAGGATTATTAAATTATTTTAAATTTTAAAAACTCTTTTTTATTAAAATAATTTCCAGTGTCAAATCCCTCTTTCAAACACTGGGACATTCAGAAACCCATAAGCAAGTCGCAGATGTTTCATTCATCGCCCGGCGATTATTGTCTCGTGTTGGCCAACAGCATTTGGCCATTGCCATTCGTTGTTGCCACTTTTACTGTTTTACTGTTTGTTCGTTTCATTTCTTTATTTTCGCTTTCAGTTTTTATTAACTGCTTCGTTTTTTTCCGTTTTGTTTTCTGTAACACAGTGTCTTTTCCTTTTAGCTGCAACCTTGTTTTATGTCTCTGTGAACTTTTGTTGGTTATTAGCTTGTCCGCACTCTCGAAACAGATGGCATGGGAGCGGGAGATGGCCAAAAAAAAGTTGTTAATAAATTTTTAATGAAATTTCTGTGCAAGCTTAATGAAAATCGAGCGTAAAGATACTAAGAAAAACAAAGAAGCAATCCAGATTTATACGGAGTAAGACAATTTTTAATCAAATAAATGTTCATATCGGCAAATCAAATCCAATTAGCAACTTTATAAGAACTTTCCACTTGCCTGCCCATTATGCTCGCACATTCTGCCAGCCCACCCGGATCCAGAAAAGGCAAAGTGGATTCGCTCCAGTTACTGCTCATTAAAAGTGTCCCTCGGAATGAGATTGTTATAAAGATTCTTGTTGAACGCCCATTGCGCGGCTCTTTCCCCCAGATAGTGTCAATTTCAATAAAAATCGATGATGTAGCAAAAAGTGCATGGGCAAAAAGCATGGTAAAACGAGTCGAGTTCCGGGGGCAGAAGAGTTGGAAAAAATGCGTTAAACTTTATTGCAAAACTATTGCCAGAGAAGTGGCTGAGAGGGCAGTGGCTGAGAGGAGGGGAGGTGATAAGCTCTGGATGGTTGCACAAGTTTTTAAAGATTTGATTTGGCAAAAGCTGCACCATCGGTAGCTGCGAGGAATTCCCCGATTCCCGGACGGATGCTTCCTCCCCGTCCATTACAAATCGATGGTAACGATGACGATGATGAAATGTTTGCCCAGCCATTGATGGATCCATCTAGTATGGAGGAAGCGGAGTGGAAGATGATTGGCCTGTGGGTATGGGATTGGGTTGGCGTTGGGTTGGGTTGGGGAATATCACAGGATTGGATGCCAAGCGATTGTTTTGTGCCATGAGAATTGCAGTTTGGAGCAGCGCAGAGACAGGTTAAATACTAGCAGTTCAAATAATTCTTTTTATGATGACAGGATGATATATTTGATAGATAATATAGCATAGGATTTAAACCACATTTATTGTGCAATCAGATTAAAGCATTTCCATTTCCATTTTGCGCAAAACCAAGCTATTCAGACTAATCAATTATTTTAAATAAGAGCAACTACCCGCATGCCTAAACTAAATGCATCTATTCCGTGTCTCTACTAATTGAACATAAGCAAAATCACCAAATATTGGCGAAAAAGCGCCTCTGGCAAAACCATCGGCATTTGCCAAAAACAACATGAACACAAAATGGCAAAATTCTATAAAATATGCATAGCAAAATCCATTGCAATTTTTTGGCCATAACTGTTTTCCAGACTCTCTGACATTTCAATTAAAACTCGAAGCGATTTGATGAGCCGCCCAAGCTCATCCATTCCGCCCACATTGTGGAGGATGGGACGATGAAAATGTTAATAATAATATGATAATGATGTTGATGTTGAGAAGGATTATAATAGACTAAGTGAGTGGCAGGGAGGCAACGCTGATAGATTTAATTTAACTTTTTAATGGACTCGAGAAGAAGCAGCATAGGGGCCCATGGAAGCCTCGCATTTATCGCAATTAGGAAAAAGGAGTTTTTCATGTTATTTTCTAATCCCAAAGTAAGGTAATCCCTAAGCAGGCCATTAAAATATATGTGAACTTTGGCAGACCTTTTACCGTGTTCCCTACACTTGACTGTAACACAATTTTCGGTTTTGTGACCATAATCAACTGTTCTTCGGGCCAAAGTCAAAGCTGGCCATTTGCAAGTGAGTGTGTTTGTGTGAGAACACTGCACTCAATCAGTGCCGGGCAAACAACCTGCAACTGCAACAGCAACATCCAAAAACAACAACTGCAAAACGAGGGGAAAAAGAACAGGAAACAGACAAATAAGTTGATTTGTTTGTTGTTTGTAGAGAATGAAAATGCCGAAAAAGCGCACTGCAAATGCAAATATCCACCAGAGAGATGGAATCCTGCGTCAGAAAAAAGCCATACTGAACTTTGAATGCTCTTTTTTTTTGTAAAGAACTTTAAATATTAATGTAGGTTTAGATTGCCGAATGGATTTTTGTTTAATTCTCCAAAAAAATAGTAATTTTATTGCAAAATATTTTTTTTCTATTCATCTGCCAATAGACATAGTTGCTATGAAAAAAACTAATCCCTCAATCAAACAAACGTTAAATTACTCAAATATTTTCAAATGGCTAAAACAATAGACGGTTTTTTGTTCATTTTGTATGCGCAGTATTATACAAGGCGATTTAAAAAAATGACGGCCAGAGAAAAAGTTTTCCGGTCTGACGGCGTCCACATGGCGTATACGCGATATGGTCGGTGCAATGCAGAGGAATCGAGTTGACGCCTCAGCAGGTGGCAGGTGGTAGATGGCTAGTGGCAGGAAGGTAGCCAGAGCATCGGCATGACCACTGCCATCAGCATCTCCGGCAGACACGAGTATGAGGAGGAGAAGAAGAAGGCCGGCCGGAAAAGTGCACAACAAAACCATAGAATGCACTTGAAGGCCAAAAGACTCGACAGAAAACAAATGAATGCGGCCATTTGGGGCCAGGGCTTGCTACTTGGCATCCTGCTCTGATCACACCATGTCAGTGGAATGACAGCTGCTGGATTCACCGACGTGCCCAAGGACTCTCTAAGGAAGTTCATATATTTTTTGCAAAATTTACACATGGGACTCCAGTCCTCGCCCCCACAGACGAGACATTCAAATGTAAATAAGCCTTTATTAGGTGTGTCAGGATGGGGGCTCTACCTGGGAGTGCCTGCCTGCCACTCCCACTAAATCCAACTCTTGGCATTCCGACTGGAAGAGACTCGAAGGGAAATTGGAGACTGAGTTGCATATTGATTGCTATTTGGATTATTGAATTGATTGTCCTTTTCTTTGCTTTTCTCAATTTCGCATTTTCCTTTTTAGCTGCCAATAGTGGTTATGGAAATGCAGTTCAGGGACTTTTTGTCAATTACATTTTTTCTCAGTCCCAGAGATAGAGTCCCAGAGAGAGACTGTTTTTAGCAAACAGACTAAGTACCGTCCTTTGGAGGAATTTCTAGAGGAAGAAAGTTTTAATTAGCTTGCGATCTGGTGACATTGATGGATGGTTAAAGGTCCAAAATATATTCTCTCTTCTAGGCCAGCAGCGAAATCAATCAACTCGGGCATTTTGCGGTGATGAGGATGAATTCGGGAAACAGATTGCTTTAGTTCCCGAGATAATTACCGCAAAGTGGATTAAATAAGCTAATCAGAGCTAACCACCAGATGTTCGGTTCCCACACCTCCTATAGCATTGATTTTTTTTTTATTTTTATTCTCTGGAAAATTTGTTTAATTTCGATTTGATAAGGACTAATCGCAATTGGCCGCAATTCATAAGCAATGGCCAACATGAAAAGCTCATTTGCGCCCTCAACCTAATCCTAATATTCGGTACAACGTGACGTATGCGTAATGTGGTGTTCATGTTTAGATACTAGCCTCTCTCTGTGGGCCCATAGATATATCTACTTTATTGATCGGCTCCAAATACGTTTCTAATTATTATGCTCTTTTGGTTCAAGGGCTGTCTGTGTGATTATCCTACTTTGGTGGAAAATTAGAACGAGGAAATTAAGTTCAAACCGTGGCAGTGCCCTACTACCCGAAAAATTCCGCCAATTAAATCAGAAAGAGAGATACAAAATCGCGAAAGAGAGGGCCTTACCCCTGACTCACTTGGCCACGATTGTCGTTTTGCCAGTTTTTGGTTTTTTTTAGCTGGGTTGGAAAGTGAAAGTGCACTTTAAGCCAGCTCACACACTCTTCTGGAGAGACCTGTGGAGGCAGCGCTCTCGTGCTTATGCATATACTCGGATACTACAGATATGTATATAAAATGCCACATGTCAGCACGCCCGTGTCTAAGTTTATGTTTGTAATTTTAACTGCAGCTGTAACTGTGACTCTGGCTATGACTATGAGCCGACATTTAAACTTAGCAGACACTTGAGTCTAGCTAGGCAGGACAAGGCACTAAAAAAATAGTTTAAAAAAATATAAAGAAAATATAAAGAAAATAAATATTTAAAGTTCTAAACTCTTATCATAATACTCTTATCTATAAACTACAAAAACTATATCTCTATTATACCAAACGACTGTTTTTTTTTTGAGTGCAGAAATGTCAAGTCTGAAAATGGTGGCAATGGGAGGCAGTCCACCCCCATGAATGGATGCAACTGCACGGGTGAGAGGGCATATATGCATATAGGTGTGTGTGTTGTGTGTGGCATAAGCGCGGGTGTTGGGGCAACAATAAACCGTAGGGAAGTGCAACAAATGCATGAATAAACAACAACTCAATTTGAATAAAGCAACAGCAGCGCAGTCGGCGGCACTGATGGGCGGTGTAAAATTCCTGCTTAAGCTTCACTTTAATGTCCACTAAGCTCTTTTTTATTTTCCAAGATTTCTCAAGAAAATAGAGAGTGTTTAAGCCAGAAGTACAAATACATTGTACTGCTGACAAGTGAAAAAAAAACAACTATAAGAGTCAAGTTGGTCTAATTATTTTAAAGACTTTAAAATATGCTTTTATTAAAAAACTTAATTTATATTCAGTTAAGCTCATAAATTATTCACTTAATAAACAATATATTGGGAATAATCAAATTAATTATAATTTAATCATAAAATAATTGTATGTGTTTCTATGGAGAAGACTAAAAAACTAAACAAACAGAAATGTTGTGGTTTCGCTCGCTTTTCAAATACAAAGCTAATACCAAACTCTCCCCGCTTATGTAAACCCAAAAAAAAAATAAAAAACAAAACTGAAAACTGAATTTGGCTAAAGCTGCAAAAACGGGTTGTCTCTCTCGACTTGCGTTTATTGCATACAACAATTGATTTTCGTGGTGGCGACGCGGTTCGGGGCCAGAGTAAAATGCAAATGAAAATGGCAAAGTGCTCAGTCCCAGAGAGGAACTTCCAATATACATGGTAGTCGCATGGTTGTAGTCTGTATGTAGTTTGAAACAAACTTCAAATTGGCAACAACAAAAGCAACTCTTAGCCACACACATACACCAATGAGGCATTATATAGTCAGAGGGGGCAGGTGGCAGCACCCACCTGATGGGCGGGAGAGTGCAACAAAAATGACAAACGTGCTTTTGATAGACTTGTTGACGACAAGCTCCTGGCGCTTGGCAGCTGTCAGCTGCAGCCCAGAAACGTTGTGATATCCTCACACATGCATACACAGAGAGAAATTAATTAAGCCATTAAACCATGGTTTTCTATAAGAAAATACCAAAATTATCAAGAAACTTTTACCCATTTATTCTCAGTGTAAACTTGCTTGTTAGCATATGTGTGGGTTTTTTATGGCGCGGTAAGGCAGTTGCGAATTTTTGTAAGCAATTTTATTGTGGGCTCCATTAATAAATAATGCCAAAAATCAATAGGATGACGACTCCTTGCGATTGCCGTTTTTACGACCGCCACCACACATTTCATATTGCATGTTGCTCTCCCTATATGTTGCGGCATGTGTGTCGGGGTGTATAAATGTGGCTAACTGTGTTCGCGGTCCAATCTTGGTAATTGCAATTACAATCCACTTTGGTGGCCGCGTTTATTGTAATCAATTTGTTGTGTTTATTACGGCCAGTTCATGGTTGCTGCAGCAACACCACAAACAAAAAATCTATCCCTTGGTGCACTCACTTTTTTGTGGTTTAGTTTTGGTTTGTTTTGGCTGCCCTTTCTTAACTTGCTTTGCTTGTCGTTCCCAACTTGGCTAACGCGCGCGGGCCAGAACGAGATGACGACGTAACTTTCGTAAACGTGTTTTTGTTATGGTGTCTGATGCCAAATCGATGACGCAACAGCAACACGTCCAACACGTTCAAGTGGCGCTTACTAACTGACTTTGTTTTGGCCAACTCGCCATGCCATGCCATGCCGAGCCGAAGCGGCCAAAACCGAAGCAGAAAGCGAAACCGAAAACGAAAGCCGACAAGTTGCTTGGTAGTGGGGGGCACCACCTACAATTTGATATTATTTGATGATACTTTTTACATCGACATTTATTTCAAATTACATTTCTATTCGAGATTTGTCACATCAACAAATTTTTTTTTTTATTTTCTCTCATGCAGCTTAATCCGGAAAATCGGACATTGTAGAGATTTCCATGGATTTGATTGCTGGTAAGTGCTCGACAATTCTGGGGGCACTCTTTTAGAAGATTTAGATGGTAGAAAACATTAAATAAAAAAAATCTTTCCGATCATTTTTAAATCCTTCTTCTGGGCGCGCTTTCCGTGCATTTCCGGTTTTGGGGTTAGACCGTTAAAAAAAGGCACAACGGCGTTGCCAGAGTTGCGGTTCAGACCAAAAATCTGGTAGCACCGAATCTAGTTCCATGAACTGGTTCACAATCAGCTGAAAGAAAACGTTCAACTCATCTGTAACAGAAATAGCCACAAATTTTCATTAGTTTTGTTGTTTTCCCTAATTTTTGGTACTCGAACTGATCTAAATTATGCCTGTGTAATGCTAGAAAACATATCATTGTGTGTGATCAAAATCGAGACCGATTTGGAGGCCAGTGCAGGTGAGAGACTCGAAGAAATTACGACTTTGTTTGGACAAAGAAAACCTATGTATGTATGTATTTATTTCACAATGTTTTTAGATTCAGAAGGTGCCGTTTCCTCCGAACATCCCACCAATCCACGCTTTCTCAAGGAACGGGAACGCGATCGCGGACTGCGTCAGGCCCGCGACATCACCATCGAAACCTACATCAACCAGCGCTGGTCCAGGGAGCTGAGTGCTGACAAGAATACGGATACGGAGGGCAATAAGATGAACTGGGCAGCAGCCCTGCAGCATGTAAACAGCCCTTCGGCGGGCAGCTCTCGTGAAACCACTCCACGCAACGGTGATGAGACCGGTGGACCACAAATGACCTCTTCGAAGTTTCCATTAGAGATTGGCTACTTTTCGGGCAATCCCATTGTCGAAGTGACTAAGGGCCTCATCCATCTGTACAAGAAGAAGTAAATAGTCTATTTCTCAATTACTTTGTTATATATTTACTAATTATATACGTTTTTCCATACTAAAGCGAACGCAAGGCCATCAAGGAGGCGCCGTCAAATCAACTCTGCCTGCTGGCCGTGCCAGCCACTCTCAACTGCCACGATCTGCTGAACTTCATCGCCCCTTGTCATGCTGAGATTAAGCATGTACAAATCGTGCGTGATGGCAGTCCCAATCAATTTATGGTGCTTCTAGAGTAAGTTACTAAAATGAAACCAAAAACCTAAACATCAACTTCCATATCCCATCAGATTCCGCTCCAATGAATCGGCTTTGGAGTTTTACAAGTCGTACAATGGCATCGCCTATAACTCTCTCGAACCCGATTCGCTATGCCACGCGGTTTGGGTTTCCGCAGTGGAGCGTGGTGAAAACGGAGCGCCACCGATAGGACACACGGAACTGCCCACTTGCCCTGTATGTCTGGAGCGCATGGACGAGAGCGTGGACGGAGTGCTTACGATTCTGTGCAACCATGCATTCCACGCCAGCTGCCTGATGAAATGGGGTGACTCCACATGTCCAGTATGCCGTCATGTACAAACACCAGAGCTGATCGAGGATTCGGTGTGCATGGAGTGCGAGGGAACGGACTCCCTGTGGATCTGTCTAATCTGCGGCCATGTAGGCTGCGGTCGCTACCAGGGTGGACATGCTGCGGCCCATTATAGAGCCACCAATCACACTTTTGCCATGCAACTGGGCACCTCCAGCGTGTGGGACTATGCTGGCGACAATTTCGTCCATCGCCTCTTTCAAAACAAGTCCGATGGCAAGCTGGTTGCTTCGCAAACTGAAAAGGATGAACGCGAGGAGAAAATTGATTCAATGCAAATGGAGTTCACCTACCTGCTGACATCACAGCTCGACACGCAGCGTAAGTACTATGAAGAGCGTATGGAGCGTCTCGAGCAAGAGTGGCAAAACTTTCAAGCGAAAGCCAATGAAACCAAGTCGGAGATGACAGAGCTGCAGCAGCTCCAACAGAACATGCTAAAGGAGAAACAAAATTTAGAGCGAAAGCTAGCCCAACACACTGTCAAGTAAGATTATATTTCCTCTAGAAGCATATTTACTAAAGACATTTTTATTTCAGACTTAAGGAAGCACAAAAACAGTTGAATGAAGAACGCGAGCTGTGCAAAGCCCTGCGGGACAACCAGATCTCTTGGCACCAACAGTATAAGATCCTGGAGAAGAAATACACCGACTTTAAACAAGCCCATGATGCCGAAGTCACCGATCTGAAGGAGCAGCTTCGCGATGTTATGTTTTTCCTGGACAACCAACAAAAGATGGCTAATTCGGAACTGGCCGGAGCATCCATAACCGGAATCGGCGAAAAAGATCCAGAGCCGAGCTCCCGTCGCGGCAATCGTCGCAAGAAATAGATTCATTATATGGCCGACACGAGTTACAAAGTTCATTAATCAATTTGTGAGGGTTCGCAAGACGAATACAATTAATTAACAGCTCTATATGTGATTTCATTTGTGAAGAAAAGCCGAAGAATACAATATTTCTAATGTTTACTACCGTTAAGCTTACATATTTTAGAAGTTCTTCGTTTGTATTTCGAGTTAATAGATTATAAACTTTATAATATAGAGTAAGATATATAGTTCGGTTGCTGGAAAGCGAATTCAAGTTCTTAATACATTTCGATTTAATTTGTTTCTTATAAGTATAGTTTGAATCCTTCTATTCATTTTTCATTCTTTAATATGTATATCAATTTACATTTATAATTTGAAGTAAAAAAAAATCAATAAATTTGTTCCGTTTGGATTAATTTATAATTGAAGCAACAAGCTTTAGTGTATACATTGAATTTCTTTAAGAGACTTCTTACATTTTTAATTAAAATATAACATATTGAAAAGCTTTAATGCTCCGAGGGAGGACACACGTTCTCACACTGGAACGTGGGATCAGAAAGTTCCTGTGGCGGCTCAATGGTCGGCGCCTGGAAAATAGTCAACTTCTCCTTCATTTCCTTCTCGTTGCGATCCAGATTCATTAAATAGGCGGCAATAAACGCTCTCGGATCCTGCGGCATGTGCACATGCAGCTGGGCGAAGGCTCGCACCAGGACCTCACCCATTTGCTCCTTGATGTCGGCGGTCATACTGTCGACTGCCTCTAGGTTCTTGCCAGTGGGTAGCCACTCGTATTCCTTGAAGCAGCAGCATTCGCAGTAAGCCTTTGGATCCGAATTTTTAAGAAGCTGGAAAAAGGGCTGCAGCTCCACCTCGCAGCTTTTTACATTGGCCACCTCTCGCACAAAACGTTTGTGCAACTCGCAGACATCTCGCTCGCATCCGCGGATCACCTCCTGGTCCTGGGACAGAGCAGCAGTGCGTTTAATGTAGTCCACCGTGTTCTCGTGGAACGACTTGAACTTGCACTTCTCCTCATTATAGGCATAGAGACACTGACGGGCATAAACAATTATGTTGTCCCGCCGCTTTCGGATCTCCTCGCACCTTTTACTGAAGTGGTGTTTCACCTCGTCCAAGCTATTGATTCGCTGGGCGAACTGGGTCATGTCCTCGATACTCTCGCAGACCACCTTTCCCCGCTTCTCTTTGCCACACTTCTCTGAAGCCTTGTTGATCTTCTCTAGCTCTGCCTTGAGTTCCAGTTGCAGATCCCGCAGCTGCGTGTTTAGGCGCTTCACGTCGTTGTCATTGCAGATTAGGGCCTGGAGCATCTCCCGCAGGCAGTTCTTGTGCGGATTGGGCAGTTCATCCGGGCAGGCAGTCAGCATCCTGAAAGGTTCAAGGACTTTTATTTAAAAGATATATATTTTATGTCACTCGATATAAGTAGTTTGGAGGTGAAACTTTTTTTTTTGTTTGAACATGTAAGATAAAACTGGAAAAAAAGCCTCCTATATTCCAGAATATTTCAGGCAGAATAAGATGAATCGGGTAATTATTGGAAAAGATATAGACTTTGCTCCTGGCTATATTGCCCCTACCATGCATTTTCCACATTTTGAAGGGTATCCTTCAGAAAATTTTACAAAAAATCTAATAAATATTTTGTCTTCAGATTTTGATGCAGATTAATGGAAAATCTGATCACAAATCGTTTAAGGTATTCCGCTCACGAATCGGATGAATGTTGGAAAAGATATAGCGATCGATCCTTGCCATATTGCCCCTCCCATGCATTTTCCACATTTTGAAAGGATCCTCCAGAAAATTTGACAAAAAATCAAAAAAATATTTTTTCTTCAGATTTTGATGCAGATTAATGGAAAATCTGATCACAAATCGTTTAAGGTATTCCGCTCACGAATCGGATGATTATTGGCAAAGATATAGAAATCGATCCTGGCCATATTGGCACTCCCATGCATTTTCCACATTTTGAAAGGATCCTCCAGAAAATTTGACAAAAAAATCTAAAAAATATTTTGTCTTCAGATTTTGATGCAGATTAATAGAAAATCGATGCACAAATCGTTTAAGATAGTCCGCTCAAGAATCGGATGAATATTGGCAAAGATATAGCAATCTCTCCTTGCCATATTGCCCCTCCCATGCATTTTCCACATTTTGAAGGGGATCCTCCAGAATATTTTACAAAAAATCTAATAAATATTTTCTCTTCAGATTTTTATGCAGATTTATGGAAAATCGATCCACAAATCGTTTAAGGTATTCCGCTCAAGAATCGGATGAATATTGGAAAAGATATAGCGATCGCTCCTTGCCATATTGCCCCTCCCATGCATTTTCCACATATTGAAAGGATCCTCCAGAAAATTTGACAAAAATCTAAAAAATATTTTGAAGCAGATTAATGGAAAATCGATGCACAAATCGTTTAAGATAGTCCGCTCACGAATCGGATGATTATTGGCAAAGATATAGACATCGATCCTGGCCATATTGGCACTCCCATGCATTTTCCACATTTTGAAAGGATCCTCCAAAAAATTTGACAAAAAAATCTAAAAAATATTTTGTCTTCAGATTTTGATGCAGATTAATAGAAAATCGATGCACAAATCGTTTAAGATAGTCCGCTCAAGAATCGGATGAATATTGGCAAAGATATAGCAATCTCTCCTTGCCATATTGCCCCTCCCATGCATTTTCCACATTTTGAAGGGGATCCTCCAGAATATTTTACAAAAAATCTAATAAATATTTTCTCTTCAGATTTTTATGCAGATTTATGGAAAATCGATCCACAAATCGTTTAAGGTATTCCGCTCAAGAATCGGAAGAATATTGGAAAAGATAGAGCGATCGCTCCTTGCCATATTGCCCCTCCCATGCATTTTCCACATTTTGAAAGGATCCTCCAGAAAATTTGACAAAAATCTAAAAAATATTTTCTCTTCAGATTTTTATGCAGATTTATGGAAAATCGATCCACAAATCGTTTAAGGTATTCCGCTCAAGAATCGGATGAATATTGAAAAAGATATAGCGATCGCTCCTTGCAATATTGCCCCTCCCATGCATTTTCCACATTTTGAAGGGGATCCTCCAGAAAATTTGACAAAAAATCTCAAAAAATTTTTTTGTTTCAGATTTTGATGCAGATTGATGGAAAAAAAATACAAATCGTTTAAGGCATTCCGCTCAAGAATCGGATGAATATTGGAAAAGATATAGCGATCGCTCCTTGCCATATTGCCCCTCCCATGCATTTTCCACATTTTGAACGGATCCTCCAGAAAATTTGACAAAAAAATCTAAAAAATATTTTGTCTTCAGATTTTGATGCAGATTAATAGAAAATCGATGCACAAATCGTTTAAGATAGTCCGATCAAGAATCGGATGAATATTGGCAAAGATATAGCGATCGCTCCTTGCCATATTGCCCCTCCCATGCATTTTCCACATTTTGAACGGATCCTCCAGAATATTTTACAAAAAATCTAATAAATATTTTCTCTTCAGATTTTTATTCAGATTTATGGAAAATCGATCCACAAATCGTTTAAGGTATTCCGCTCAAGAATCGGATGAATATTGGAAAAGATATAGCGATCGCTCCTTGCAATATTGCCCCTCCCATGCATTTTCCACATTTTGAAGGGGATCCTCCAGAAAATTTTACAAAAATCTAAAAAATATTTTTTTTCAGATTTTGATGCAGATTGATGGAAAAAAGAATACAAATCGTTTAAGGCATTCCGCTCAAGAATCGGATGAATATTGGAAAAGATAGAGCGATCGCTCCTTGCCATATTGCCCCTCCCATGCATTTTCCACATTTTGAAGGGTATCCTCCAGAAAATTTGACAAAAAATCTAAAAAATATTTTGTCCACAGATTTTGATGCAGATTAATGGAAAATCTGATCACAAATCGTTTAAGGTATTCCGCTCACGAATCGGATGATTATTGGCAAAGATATAGACATCGCTCCTGGCCATATTGGCCCTCCCATGCATTTTCCACATTTTGAAGGGTATCCTCCAGAAAATTTGACAAAAAATCTAAAATATATTTTGTCTTCAGATTTTGATGCAGATTGATGGAAAATCGATCCGCAAATCGTTTAAGATAGTCCGCTCAAGAATCGGATGAATATTGGCAAAGATATAGCAATCTCTCCTTGCCATATTGCCCCTCCCATGCATTTTCCACATTTTGAAGGGGATCCTCCAGAATATTTTACAAAAAATCTAATAAATATTTGCTCTTCAGATTTTTATGCAGATTTATGGAAAATCGATCCACAAATCGTTTAAGGTATTCCGCTCAAGAATCGGAAGAATATTGGAAAAGATAGAGCGATCGCTCCTTGCCATATTGCCCCTCCCATGCATTTTCCACATTTTGAAAGGATCCTCCAGAAAATTTGACAAAAATCTAAAAAATATTTTCTCTTCAGATTTTTATGCAAATTTATGGAAAATCGATCCACAAATCGTTTAAGGTATTCCGCTCAAGAATCGGATGAATATTGAAAAAGATATAGCGATCGCTCCTTGCAATATTGCCCCTCCCATGCATTTTCCACATTTTGAAGGGGATCCTCCAGAAAATTTGACAAAAAATCTCAAAAAATTTTTTTGTTTCAGATTTTGATGCAGATTGATGGAAAAAAAAAATACAAATCGTTTAAGGCATTCCGCTCAAGAATCGGATGAATATTGGAAAAGATATAGCGATCGCTCCTTGCCATATTGCCCCTCCCATGCATTTTCCACATTTTGAACGGATCCTCCAGAAAATTTGACAAAAAAATCTAAAAAATATTTTGTCTTCAGATTTTGATGCAGATTAATAGAAAATCGATGCACAAATCGTTTAAGATAGTCCGATCAAGAATCGGATGAATATTGGCAAAGATATAGCGATCGCTCCTTGCCATATTGCCCCTCCCATGCATTTTCCACATTTTGAACGGATCCTCCAGAATATTTTACAAAAAATCTAATAAATATTTTCTCTTCAGATTTTTATTCAGATTTATGGAAAATCGATCCACAAATCGTTTAAGGTATTCCGCTCAAGAATCGGATGAATATTGGAAAAGATATAGCGATCGCTCCTTGCAATATTGCCCCTCCCATGCATTTTCCACATTTTGAAGGGGATCCTCCAGAAAATTTTACAAAAAATCTAAAAAAATATTTTTTTTTCAGATTTTGATGCAGATTGATGGAAAAAAAAGAATACAAATCGTTTAAGGCATTCCGCTCAAGAATCGGATGAATATTGGAAAAGATAGAGCGATCGCTCCTTGCCATATTGCCCCTCCCATGCATTTTCCACATTTTGAAGGGTATCCTCCAGAAAATTTGACAAAAAATCTAAAAAATATTTTGTCCACAGATTTTGATGCAGATTAATGGAAAATCTGATCACAAATCGTTTAAGGTATTCCGCTCACGAATCGGATGATTATTGGCAAAGATATAGACATCGCTCCTGGCCATATTGGCCCTCCCATGCATTTTCCACATTTTGAAGGGTATCCTCCAGAAAATTTGACAAAAAATCTAAAATATATTTTGTCTTCAGATTTTGATGCAGATTGATGGAAAATCGATCCGCAAATCGTTTAAGATAGTCCGCTCAAGAATCGGATGAATATTGGCAAAGATATAGCAATCTCTCCTTGCCATATTGCCCCTCCCATGCATTTTCCACATTTTGAAGGGTATCCTCCAGAAAATTTGACAAAAAATCTAAAAAATATTTTGTCCTCAGATTTTGATGTAGATTAATGGAAAATCTGATCACAAATCGTTTAAGGTATTCCGCTCACGAATCGGATGATTATTGGCAAAGATATAGACATCGCTCCTGGCCATATTGGCCTTCCCATGCATTTTCCACATTTTGAAGGGGACCCTTCAGAAAATTTGACAAAAAATCTAAAAAATATTTTTTCCTCAGATTTTGAAGCAGATTGATGGAAAATCGAAAACGATCCACAAATCGTTTAAGGTATTCCGTGCAAGAATCGGATGATAATTGGCAAAGATATAGGCATAGCTCCTGGTTTAAGAATCGTATGATTATTGGCCAAGATATAGGCATCGCTCCTGGCCATATTGCCCATATTGCCATTTTCCTTCTTTTTGAAAGGGATCCTTTGACAAAAAATCTAAAAAAAAAGATTGATGGAAAATCGATCTACAAATCGTTTAAGGTATTCCGTGCAAGTATCGGATTTATTTTGGCAAAGATATAGCGGTCCCTACAAAGTGATCATTTGCATTCATTGTAAACAGATTTTCAAAATATATTTCTACGGTTTTCGAATAAGAGTTATTTTTGAATTGTATAGCTTTTGGTTATTACCTAATTTGCAAGAATTCACTCTGACTAAATTTTTTGGCTTCTAT